TGGCCCTACCCTTTCTGCTTCGTTGGTGGTGACTGTCGCAGGTGTTACGTAACCGTTGTCGGCGAAATGGTAGAAGACTTCGGCGTTGTTACTGCCGCGAGGATTATCCTCATCCATGGGCACGTCGACGGAGCAGTACGGAAGAGGTCCGGCTTCCTCCGATGCGTTGTCGACGTTCTGCTCATCCCAGTCTGCTTCATCCGCTGCTGACGCGAAGGCTCGGTCACCACGAAAGCCACTGGTGAGGTCCCGATTCTCGTGCAAGTTGGCGAGGTACGTCTGAAGGGTGAGTCGTTCGTAGAAGATCACATCTCGTGCTGCTACTGTTTCTTTTGTGTGGACGTCGAAGATTCTCCACGCGTTGTAATTTTTCTCGATGCCGAGGTGTAGTCCCCACTGTGCCCGTTGCGAAAATCTTCCCGCTCGTGCTTCTGGGGGTCTGTACTGTACCATGCACCCGAAGACTCGTAACATTTTTGTGCTGCCCTGCTTCCCTGTCCACAGCAGATGCGGTGATGCGTTGTTCGGGAGTGACGACGACGACAACAAGTTGTGCAGCATGACAGCATGGTCCATTGCTGCTGGCCACTGGTGGTTGGGTAGCCGCATGCCACGTAACAGTTTGCGCATGCTGTTCTGCAGGGTCCTGTTCATTCTTTCTGCAACACCTTGCTGCTGATGTGCGTAGGGAAGGGAGAGGAGTTGCTTGATCCCCCTTTCCGCCAGGAACTGCTTGAAGCGCTGAGAGGTGTACTCGCCACCTCCGTCTGACTGGAAGCTTTTCAGTTGTGTTCCAGACTCTCTCTCTGCTATCGGTAGCCAGGCGGCGAATGCTGCGAGTGCCATGTCGCGGCTGGGTAGATTGCAATGCCAGACGTATCGAGTGGCAGCGTCGATGAAGGTGATGGTGTAGTTGTAGTTGACTTGTCCGGGTTCGCGATTGTAGAGGATGTCGCTGTAGACCTTTTCGAGTGGTGCGTACGCTGGAGCGCTCAGGTTGTGATGTGGAGCGAACGGTCGATGAGGTAAGTCAGCTTCGGGGCATATAAGGCAAGTCCCTCGTGCCTTCTGGAGTTCTCTGCCATCGGGTAGAAGTAGGGAGTCTTTGTCAAGAACTCCTGCTCTTATCGTGTTATTTAAAACCGTGTTGCTTGGATGTCCTGTGCGTGCGTGCCAGATCTCTTCAGAGGCGCGGTGTCTGGGTGAACGTTGGTATGCGTCGGAGTTGGAGTAAAAACTGGCGACAAAGTTGGCGCTTCGGTGGACTTCACGTTGAGTCGGATTCAGCTGTTGCGCGGGTGTTGGTGGTGCTTCGTCGACTGTGACTGGTGTCGTTGTTCCTGCTGCTGCTGATGTTGTTGCTGCTGCCGATGTTGTTGCTGCTGTCGATGTTGTCTCTGCTTCTGGTGTTTGTTGAATCGTTGCTAACGCTCGTGTTCGTTCTGCTTCAGGGATAGTGTGGGAGTACCAGAAACCTCCCGGGCTGAAGTCGGAGTCGAGATCCGGAGGGTGTGTCCAGTCGGTAAAGTTCACGATGGCGTCGCTGTCTGCAGTGCCCAGGTCAGGAACGAAGTCGAGGACGAAGACGTTGTTCTTCAGCACTGCCTTCCCGATGTAGAGGCCGCCTCTCCCGTGGTATAGCTTGAACTCTTGGGTGGTGCTGTCGGCTTCCAGGTGAATCCCCTTCGCCATCAACTGGCTAACACTCAGTAAGTTGTAACCGAGTCCTTCAGCGATGAGTACCTTTGACATGTGCAGTATGACATTTGTTTCTCTTGACTGAAGCTGTACCACTCCTTGTCGTCGTGTGCGCAGGTTTTGATTGTTGGCGACCGTGATGACAACTTCTCATTGGAGTCGGTATTCGCGTTGTACGAAGCGTCCGGACGAGCACATGTGTTGCCCACAGCAACTATCCAAGAACCAAGTGTCTTGGCCGGACGGTTCACTTTGAGCGATGGCGGCGTAAGTCGGATTTGGGTGGAGTGATTCGCGACGAGGCGTCCTGTTATCGAGCTCCTCTTCTGGTGAGTAATGGGGTGGTGACTCTGTTATGCAAGAATCGTTTATCTTTACCATGCAGTTGACTATGTTTCTTGCTCCTTGTGCAGGTTGTCCAGTTGAAGTCGTTGAAGCTTGAATCGTTGTTGTCGGACTTGCTTGCGTTGACGCAACTTGTGAGCTTGAAGGCCGAAGTTGTCGCTGTGGTGTTGTCTGACGAGACGGGCAATGCGTGCGTGGGTGTCCTGATGTCTTGCAGATGTGACAAAACGGAGGTACTGGCTTCGACTGCTGCTATCGGTTGTTGTAGTTGTTGTGTCGTCGTTGAGTATGGAAAGCGAACTCCGGTGCTAATGCCCTTTTCTTGTGCCTTTCTTCTTGCAGGTCCATATCCTGCTGCTCGGCGTGGATTTCGGCGCAGAGTGCCGCTTCGGAGATCCTCCCGTGTGCTCGAAGAATTGCTTTGGTGGCGCGCCACTGAGGACCGAGGCCACCGATGACGACTGTTACGAAGGCGTCTTCAGAGATTGATCCTCCGCATCGAAGAAGCTTGTCGCGCAATTCGCGACATCGGCTGATATACGCCAACCCCTTTTCCCCTAGTTTCATTTCAACTGTTGTCAACTGCGCCATTAACCTGCTCTGGTTTACACTGTCTGTTGCCTGATACAGGTTCTTCAGATGGCCGTACGCGAGTTCCGCCGAGTTGCCGAAGTTCCGGTAAGAGCGAATGTTCTGCTGCTGAGTTGGTGTGATGTTTCTTAGTAGAATAGTATACGCCATCATCGATTGATACGTATACTGCTGCTTCTCATACTGTGTGCCGTTTGCTGGATACTGCAGGGATCCGTCGAAGAAGCCGAGTATCTGCGCGCCCTCCATCATCAGCTCGAATTCAAAGGACCAGGTGAAGAAGTCCTTTCCGTCGAAAGGTCTTGATGTTTGCAGTTTCAGGACATGCGCGAATTGCGACTGAACTTGTAATGCGTCCATTGGTTTGTCTTGCGCAGGTGGAGGTTGAGGCAGGAAGCTGATCGACCCGCGCTCGTACGGGGCGAAGGTGGGTTGCTGCTGTTGATTCCCTCGCGCATATGACGACCCGTCAAGGCTCATGGGTGTTGCTCCGTTTTTGCTGTTGTGTGTCTGTGCAGGTCCCGACTGCTGGTGTTGCTCGTAGAAGGACATGAAGGAGAAGAATTTCTCCATCATGCTCTGGTCGAAGTCAGAAGGATGGTTCGTGGGGGTCTCGGTTGACGTTCCCCTTGGTCTTGCTGCCGTGCCTTCCTCTGTCTGCAGGCCAGAGGCTGGCGGTGGAGTAGGAGTAGTGCCCGAGGAGCCATTAGGGGAGCTCCTTTCCTTGTTTGTTGCCATGTCTTGTAATGATCTTAAAAAAAAGTTAGAGTTTTCCCCTGTCAGCTCTCATACCATGTTGGGCTGAGAAAGCCCTTAAGGATCTTTGCAGAGGATAACTCTGGGTAGGATATTTGTAATAGCGGAAGCGTTTAATGAAACTTGTGAACCGACCTTGCACTAGTGTGTGAGAGCAAAGTAGATTAAATTAAACAAGCAAATACAAGGTTTTATATAAGAGTACAGGGAATACGAATGGATAGATAACTGTATTTGCTGTTGCGATTCGATACAGTGCGACTCGGGCAACTGCTCTGTAACGAGTCAGTTGTGTGTCCTTAACTGTCGCGCTGTAATTGTCGAGTCAAAGGTCGCTGACCTTTGACTTTCCCGTAACCTCCAGGCGGTTACCCTAACCTCCGAGGTTTGACTCGATGCTTCGATTCGGACTGCTTCGCTAGTGTCTTGGGTTTTGACACGACAGAAGCGCACTAAGACTTATTGTTTCCAACATGCTGAACCCTTCAACTGCCACACCACTCCACTGCTTCACCCCTTCTGCATGCTGCTTCCTGCACCAGCTGAGGAACCTTGTGTGCTCGAGAGAAATGATGTGCTTGCTTACTGATTGTTTAGTACCCAAAAAAGCATCAGTTCGCTTTTCATAGTTGATGGTTCAGTTTGGTGGTACCGTGACTAGTCCACAAATAATAATTGACAGATAAGGTAGTCCCTACAAGCTATCAATGAATAGTCAGCAGCAGCCAGAAAAAAACATCTGGCAAGGCAATCCTCTGGCATTTGTGTAAGGCAAACGTTTGTGGTAATATAGATTGTATTGATTACAAGTAACGAGCCTGTTCTAACAATATGCATGGTACACATCATTGCCTAACAGCAGCTGGGATACCGGTATGTTCCATTGGTGTCTGTCACCATTGTTCCAACACACCATTCAGAGTTGTAGCCTAAGTTTGTACAGTGTATGACCCCAACAGCAGTTGGGAGTAGAGTGCAGGCATTGCTATCCCAGCTCTTTCAGGAGCTCCTTCTGTGCGCCCTGCTGCTGCTGTAGCCTGGCCTTGCCTGCCTCTCATGCACCAAACCCTCTCTCCTCCCCGCCTGCTGCTTCACCCCCTCCCTGCCACACACGCCACTTGCCACTGCTCTGCCACCTGCTGCCTTCACACCACCCTGCCTTCCACCCGCTGCCCTCCCTGCTGCTCCCTCCCCACACCCACCCTCCTCTCTCCTCTTCACCCCACTCGCATGCCTGCTGCTGGCCTTGCCAGCTGCTCTCACTGATGATGCACCACCACGTGATCCCACAACTGGTGCTGCTGTTGCTGCTGCTGCTGCTGCACATGGGGCAGAGCTTGCATGAGTGCTGCTGCCCTTACCACCCTTCACACCCATGCTCACCACCTTGCTGCTGCACCCACTCTTGCCCTTTGCGCTTTCAACCCCCACCTTGCACCTTGCTGCAACAACAGGCCTTGGCTGCTGTGCTGCAGCTGCTGCTCCTCTCACTGATGATGTCACAGCAGGTGATTTCACTGTTGTTTTACTTGCGGGCGAGGGAGCAGCTGGTGCTGCGGACACTGCTACAGTCGCTGCTGCTGCAGATGCAGGAGGCACGGTTTTGGGAGTCAGATTGGCCCCAGCATTAGGAAGCTTGGGCAAAAAGCAGGGACGCAGGGCGGCTTCAATGGCCGCTTCAATCTCCATGGCCCATGATGGCTCCTTGCTCCGCTTGTCCCACCTCAGGTAAGCAGCACGTGTCAGCGCAATACCCATAGCTTGAACCTCCTGACGAAGCTTCGCCCACCTCGCTTTCTCACTCGGAACAGCAGCACGTGCACTCGCCTCCTCGGACATTGCTTCTGTTTTCACACTCGCTTCAGGCACCTGTGGTGTGGTTGAAGCCACTGTAGCCGCAGGAGTTACCTCAGGCACCACCACCGGCGCAACCACAGCAGACGGAGTGACTGCAGCAGCAGCAGATGGTGAGAAGGGAGAAGCAGGGACGACCACAGGTGCAAGCACGGCAGCAGCTTTCTTGCCTCCGAAGCGGCCGATTCCAGGCCGCTTCACATCAGGTGCGTCCGCCAAGTGCACCTTCATGGGCTTGTGCTGGCCGTCTGCGAGGCTTTGGGAGGATGACGCAGTTCCGTGCTTCGCCAGATTCTCCAGCAGCGGCCTCACGCTCTTCAGAAGCACGCTGCTGCAGAACATCTCACCGTCGCCGTTGCGAGCAGCAGCAGGAAGTTGCAGATCAGCCATCTTGTCAACGGCAGCCTTCATCGGAGAGTATGACGCTGCAGGCGAGAACACCGTTCGAGGCGTGCCGAACCTGCCAATGCCTCGGGTAGGCGTGGCAGGACTTGAGGACGAAGATCCCGAGTTGAAGCTCTTCGCCATTCCGTTGTTAACAAGGCAGCAGTCCATGGTTTTAGATGGCAGGTCGCTTCACAGAAGCTTGGTACGAGGACAGCAACAATATCTGAAAGCTGCGAGTGTTGAGAATTCAGCAGATGAAGACCAGGAGTATTGAACGAGCAGATCCGGAGATCCCAAGAGCAATATCAGCAGATCAGGAGAGGAGGATGTGTGAACGAAAAGATGGAATCCTGGCGACCCCTTTTCTATTCCACTCCGCTCAAACCCGCGCCTCCACGCCTCTGCCTGTCCATTGGAGTTTCATCCTCGACCTGCCTCGCTGGTTCCTGCGCTGCACGCCACGTCAGATGCTTTTAGAATGGGTCGAAATTACGGGGAAGGGTCGCCGCACCCATTCTCGAGGCGGTCTCGATTGGGGTTTCAGACTCGTGCTTCGTCGAGTCGCCTGAGGTACATTCCCGCCAACAGTTGAAACCAACGGACCGGCCAGCGAAGGCAAAACATTTCGCAAGGCCATGGCACTGCCGCACGCGACGGATCTGGCGAACGAACGGTGGTTCGGGATTCACTTTCGTGCGTAGTCGAAACGCCTCATTTCGTTGGCGCCACGTCGTCTTCGCAAGCTATCTGCTAACGCGAATATGGTAGCAGCGAGTGTTACCATGATTGTTACTAGCGAATGTTACTGCGACTGTTACTACTAGCGCGCATATGGAGCCTTCGTCACATAGTGAACGAGCGCTGTGCGACGGATCTCGGCGACAGATCTGCCGCTGGAGGAGGAACATGAGTATTGTGGCTGGCTCCAGCTGCAAGGCATTGGGACTGCCGAGAAAGGGGTAATAGAGACGAATATATCCACTTTATTGAGCGTTCTGATAAGAAGGTTAAGAGAACAGCTCCTTCTGCTATAAAACTCACACGATACAAGAACATTATATTTCTCGAATGAATACGAGGAAACAACATGAGATATAGTTTGTTAAACAAATGTAATAGATCTGATTATAATGGTAACTAAATAAATAACAGCTACGAGTTCTGGAGCCCTAACATCAGTCAATCTAGGTTGAATATCTGCAGCCATCCATGGCACATGAGAAAATGAGTGGGTCATTGTATCTTGGAGGTCGGTGCTTCTTTTACTCGTGCCTTGCCTTGTTCCAAATTGTGAGCTGTGGGGTAGATTTCATGGCGGACCGTACTTCTGAACCGCGCTAAACGAGCTCTGGACATGAACTAAACCGGCCTTCCGTGTCTCTTACGTGTCAGTGGGACCAACCCCTACGTACCTCCCAATACTTCAGTGTGTAACACCACTTAGCTGTGAGGACTGCCAGCCACATTCGAACGCATATCTTGAGTCCACGCCGCTGCGAAACCGTTCCTGGGAGCGCAGCCAATTGAGTCAGATTAGCGCGTAGCTCGGCGCGGTAGCTGGTCCGCCCAAATCGTTGCCGACTTCCGCAATTCGTCGGCTCCGCGCGCCATCCCATGTCCGCGCATCAGGCTCCCCCCGGCCGCGACTTTGCGTACCCCGCCGTCGGCGCATACGACCGCCGCGCAGCCCCTTCCGGCAGCGGGCCCGCCGCCATGTACCCGCGCGTGGCGCACCCCGTGCCGTCCGCGGCCCCATTCTCCGGCGGGGGCGGCACGTCCCTCCACATGCCGGTCGTGACGGCCGTCGGCGCAGGCGCGCCTACCGGGGGCTTGGGCGGGATGGGCGGAATGGGCGGACACGGCACAGGTGGCGGAGCGCCAGCGCTTGCTGCAGGTGCCGTATGCGCGCAGCTTAGACTCACACTGCGTACACTCACATATCCCGTAGCCACATCCTGAGCCCACAACTCTCAGAAATCCACCTCATTGAACTCGTTGCTTTCTAATCACACCTCAATCAACGCACACCCCCCTCAACCCTCACCTCCCTTGTGGTGCGCCTCCCCCCCTGCCATGCGTGCAGGCCCGGCGCCCATCGCCATGGCTATCAAGACAGAGCTGCGGGTCGCACAGGTGAGCGCCTAGGCACCACTCTGCACCACTCTGCGCCGCACCCCCTTCTCACGTGAACCTCCGATGCATCAATCCGCGGTCGTCTCTCCTTTCTCCTCGCACCTTCGCGTCACTTTCTTCTCCTCCTTTCTCTGTGGTGTCTTGCCGTCTTTCCCTCTCGCCTACTCCCTTACCTCAGATTCATGCGCCCCATTTCCACCTCTTGATGTCGTCTCCATTCCACCTCTTGATGTCGTCTCTCTTCCACCTCTTGATGTCGTCTCCCTTCCACCTCTTGATGTCGTCTCCCTTCCACCTCTTGATGTCGTCTCCCTTCCACCTCTTGATGTCGTCTCCCTTCCACCTCTTGATGTCGTCTCCCTTCCACCTCTTGATGTCGTCTCCCTTCCACCTCTTGATGTCGTCTCCCTTCCACCTCTTGATGTCGTCTCCCTTCCACCTCTTGATGTCGTCTCCCTTCCACCTCTCGATGTCGTCTCCCTTCCACCTCTTGATGTCGTCTCCCTTCCACCAGTCAACCTGCACGTTACCACCTCCCCTCGCCATCGCACCCCGCCTTCCCGTTGCCTTCCGTTTCCCTCTGCCTTTTCCTCCAACGTGGCCTTTCACCCTCACAACTCCTCCACACTTCCATCCCTCTCCACCCTGTATTACCCACTGACAGCCCCCCCGGCTAGCTCTAGTGCAGGTGATGGCAGCGAGCAGCGGCGTTTGACTTTGACGTGGAAAAGAGAAGCACCTGCTTCCGTCCGAGGTGACGCTTGAGTCGATTCAAATACCTATATTCTCCACCCTGTGCGCCCTCCTCACAGCCGCCCCCGCTAGCGCCAGTGCAGGCGGTGCCGGTGAGCGCAGCGGCGTTTGACTTCTACGTGGAGAAGCAGCTGCTGTCTAGGGTGACGTTTGAGTCGACTCAATAACCTTCCGTCTCCACCCTACCCTCTTCTCCATGCAGCCTCCCCCACTAGCGCCCGTACAACCAGTGGCAGTGAGCGCAGCGGCGTTTGACTTCGACGTGGAGAAGCAGCTGCTGTCTGAGGCGTCGGCACTGCGCCAGCGCACCAGCGTGGCTGTGAAGCGCGAGGTGGGGCCTGTGAAGACAGCTAGTTGCATAGTGGTTATGTTAGCCTTGTGTGTTCTGAGTTGACACAAGCCACAGAAGCAGCTGCTGTCCGAGGCTTCCGCACTGCACCAGCGCACCAGCGTGGCCGTGAAGCGCGAGGTGGGGGGGAGGGGACGTGGGGCGAGGGCGGCTAGTTGCACACTGGTTAGCTGTGTGTGTTCTGAGTTGACTGTTATCACAGAGACAGCTGCTGTCCAAGGCGTCGGCGCTGCACGAGAGCACCAGAGTGTCCTTGAAGCGAGAGGTGTGGGCGTGGGGCGAGGGCGCCAGTTTCATAGTGGTTATCAGAGGCGGTGAAGTGAGAGGTGGGGGTACGGACAGAGAGGCAGGAGAGTCCACTCCCCCTGTCCCCTGCCCTTGCCCTCCCCACTTCCTCCCCATCAGGTGGACCCACGGGCCAGCAAGTACATACAAATGGGCATGAACAGAGAGGCAGTCATCATGGCACTCACCATGCACGGCGACTCGCACTCACAGGTAACAAGGAATACCATTTGGAACAGGGTTCTCGCCATTCCTCTCGCTCTCGCACATTACCTTCCTTCCTCCCACGAGTGCATGCTTTTGGAGTGGGGGATGATCTTGGTGGTATTCTGACCACACACATTACAGAAACCACTGAAGCTTCTTCATTTTCTGGCAGCAATGTGATGAGAGTGAGAATGCTGTCACGTGCCCTGGTTGTCTTGTCAGCACCATGCCTGCCTTGCTGAATGGGGACCACTGTCCCATCGCATGCCACCCATGGCCCCGTGCCCTCCGTGCTGCCAGGTGATATTCTTCTGTTAGTCATAAACGTTGCTGAGAGAAATGGGTTTTTACACGGCCACCCATGTCCCCCATGTTGCCCCCCCGTGTCCCCCCTTCCCTCCCCACTGTGTCCCCCTTTCCTCCCCTTGTCCCCTTTCCCCCCGCGTTCGCCCGTCTTCCTTTTCTGTCCCTCTCCCCCCCACCCTTCTTGTGCCCCCATGCCCCCAGGTGGTGGATTTCTGCAATGCATACATGTTGCTAAGAGAGATGGGTTTTGACCCGGTGGCTGTGGCGGGCTGTCTGGCTCTCTGTGGCAACGACCGCGACCGGGCGCTGCAGCTGCTAGTCGCCTGAATAAAATGGCCTTTCATGCTGTTGTGAAATCTGTAAATATCATTAAAATCCATGAATGGATAGAGTGTTTTGATGTTTTTTGTTTGTGTTTTTTCTAATAATAACCGAAATGCTAATAGGAGCCAGATTCTGATGCTCGCTATAGACGGCTTTTTATTCGCATTGTCGTCCACCAAGAAGGTCGCAGGGCGTCGTCTCGGCGATTCTGGGAGTCACCGCAAGGGGGGCACGGCAGAGCAGCATGCACGTCTCGGCGACCCCGCACGGCGCAACGCGCTGCCTCTCCCGCCCACCACGCGGCACCCACTCACTACTGCTCCAGCTGGCGTCCTGCCCATCCCGCTCGCACTCCCCCGCCGATTGACCTTCCCGCCTTCCGCCGTATCTGCGCACCTCCCCGCACCTTCTGCCTGCTCGTTTCCCGCCAGGATGCTGTGCGGTGCCCCCTCCCCGGCTACCTGCGCGACCTCCCCGCACCTTCTGCCTCCGCGGCGACCCGCGCGATGCTCGACGGGAGCTTGGGGAGCGAAAGCTTCTTCAAAGATTTTTTGCTCGCTCGCACCCTCCGCGCGCCGCCTCGTGCCACACCGCGGGCCTGCCTGCGCGCACCTGCCTCCGTCCGTCGTATGCCATGCCTCCACTCCACCCTCTCGTCCCGTTTCCAGCCGTCCCCGTGTTGAGCCTCCATCAACAACACCCTTTCGCTACTCGCACCTCTTTTCCCGTTCGCTTTACCTCAATCGTTCCGCTTCACTGCTGTTTTCTCGCTGAGCCGTCGCTTCACTGAGCCGTCGCATCTTGCGTGACAGCGGTAGCAGCCTTGTATCGCGTTTAGCAATTCTCGAGAGTGGTAGCAGGCTAGCGCGGAGAGCGGAGAGGAATAACACGGTGCGGCGGACATGGCGGCGTATGACACGTCACTAGGGCGGCGAGGGATACTGGAGGAAGGGGGACAACAGCCAAGTGGACCCGTTCCGCTCTCCACGTCAGCAGGCTCGCCGCCACGTGGACCCATTCCGCTGTCCACGTCAGCAGGCTCGCCGCCACGCGGCGCTGTAGGAGGGTCACCCCCACGCGCCACCGCTGGTCGCCCCGCGAGTCGCCCCGCAAGTCGCCCCGCGGGTGAGTTAGCATCAAGCACAGTGGGGCTTGTAGCCTGGTAACCAAGTAACGCAAGAGCTGCCACTGCTGACATGGCAGGCCAGCAGCGGTTGGTGGCGTTGGGTGTGGCCCGTGGTGTGAGCAGTGTACAGTGTACAGTGCCTCACTGCTCACGATTATAACATTGTGATAAAGAGTTGTTACGAGACGTCTCAAAACAAGTCTACAGTGCCTCACTCACCGCTCACGATGATAACCTTTCTGAGCATGCAGAGAGGCAGCAGCGTGAACACACACAGCGCCCCAAGGTAAGGAGAGTTGCTCCAAGGCAAGGCACACGACTCTCTGCACTAGGCCCTTGTGCCCCGCTCGCTCCTCCCACCCAACTCCTCCGCCCTCCTGCTTGCCGCTTTGTCTCACTCCACCATCCCTCCCACCCAGCTCGTTCGGAGAAGCTGGCGGAGATGGGCGGCGGGCTGGGCGGCGAGACTCGGATCTTTGCGCGCGGGCAGACCATCTTCTGGCGGCTGCTACAGCTGGCGACGGCTATCATTGCGCTGGCTGTCATGACTGCTTCCAGTGCCAATGGCATGTACTTCCAATACTACCAGGTGCGTCCGTGCTGCTGCAGCTGGCTACAGCTGTAATTGCCCTGACTGATATGCCTGCACTAAGTACCAACGGCATGTACTTCCAATACTACCAGGTGCGTACTGTGCTGCTTCTGCCACGTCAGCACGGTGCTGCCAGGTGAGCACTGCTGCATAGTATGTGCAGGCGATGTGTTGCTTCGTCACAGGTGGACGCCGCCATCACAGCGTTATCCATCCATCCATCCATCTACCTCTGCTGCCTGCCTTGCTAATCGCCACCATGCATTGCCATGAAGTCAACGTGGATACTCCACTCCACCACCATGCACGCACCCATGCGCACCCATGCGCACCCATGCGCGCCCCATCCGCCACAAGCTCATCTGCATGCTGACGCCCATGGTAGCACGGCCGCCTGCACCACACCACAACACCATCCCCACTGCCTCCGCTTCACCTCGTCCCCCTTCCTCCTCTACCTCCCCCCCGACTTCCCTCCTCCCTCCTCCCCCTTCAGGCGGTCATCTCAATTGTCCGGCCATGACAGGGGTGACAGGTGTGTGTGTGTGTGTGTATGGGCAGGTCTGTATTACACCCCCCTCACTCCCGCTCCCCCCTCTCCCTCCTCCTCCCCCCTCAGGTCAAGCGTTCATCTCAATCGTCACAGCCATGGCAGCAGTGGGTGGCTGGCAGGGGTGTGTGTGTGTGTGTGTGTGTGTGTGTGTGTGTGTGTGTGTGTGTGTGTGTGTGTGTGTCTGGGGGCTTACGCACCGTCTCAACTCCCTCGTATTCCACCCCCCTCACTCCCGCCTCCCTACCTCCTTTCCCCACCTCGCAGGCATTCATGCTCATGGTCGGGGCATGCCATGAATGCCGCGACCATGAATGGCAGCCGTGGCAGCATTGTGCCTCGTGTTCTTTGAGACGTCTCAAGCTCCGTTTCCCCGCTCCTCACTCCTCCCTTCCCGCAATCCTCTCCTCCCTCACTCTCCCCTCTCTACTTGTTCCTCCACCTCTCAGGCGTTGAATGGCAGCGACAGCTATGGCAGCTGTGGTGGTGGCACTGGCAGCCGTGGAATGGCAGCGTGGTGTCTCACGCCTTTTGAAACGTATTATCTTTTCTCTCCCCCTCTACCTCCTTCCCCCACCCCGCAGTAGCAGCAATGACGGCAGTAGCAGCAATGACGGCAGTAGCAGCAATGACCGCAGTAGCAGCAATGACGGCAGTAGCAGCAATGACCGCAGTAGCAGCAATGACCGCAGTAGCAGCAATGACGGCAGTAGCAGCAATGACGGCAGTAGCAGCAATGACGGCAGTAGCAGCAATGACCGCAGTAGCAGCAATGACGGCAGTAGCAGCGATGACGGCAGTAGCAGCATGGTGCTTGACATGACACCTACTTTAATCATCTCAAATGTCCCCTCTCGCCCCCCTCCTTCCTTCCTACACCCCACCACGCAGGCGTTCATCGTCAGAGTCGCAGCAATGACATCAGTAGCAGCACGGTGCTTGGCGACTTTTGAGACGGCTCAAGCTCCCTACCCCCCTCATTCCTCACCCCCCACCCTCTCCCTCGCACCCACCCCGTCAAACAGGCGTTCATATTCATGGTGGCGGCAATGACAGCGGTGGCAGCGTGGTGCCTCGCCCATCTGCTGCACTCCATTGGTCGCCTCATGACCCGCAAGTGGCGCATCACTCTCTTCGCGCTCCTCGACTTCGTCAGTGCCCTGCCTGCCGCCCTTCCCCCTCGCTCCATAATAAAATGCACACATGATGAACTTGAAGCACTAATGCCCCGCAAGTGGCGCATCTCTCTCTTTGCCCTCCTCGACTTCGTCAGTGCCGGCTCTCCCTTCCCCTCGCCCTACAGTGCTCTTTTGATGTACCGGGAATGAAATACACACCTTATGCACTTGTTCACGCTCTTCGCCCTACTCGACATTGTCAGTGTCTGCCATCCCTCTTGCTTGTCCTGCAACGTGTTGTGCCCACTACTGCCTCGCGTGCCGAGCTGCCCGCGTTCCCTACACCACTCACCTCATAGCGGCCTCCTCACACTATCCTCCTCTGCTGGTCGCCACCCATACGCACCCACACACCTCATATGACTTCAACCCTCAACCCGCAAACCACCCATACGCACCCACACACCTCATATGACTTCAACCCTCAACCCGCAAACCACCCATACGCACCCACACACCTCATATGACTTCAACCCTCAACCCGCAAACCACCCATACGCACCCACACACCTCATATGACTTCAACCCTCAACCCGCAAACCACCCATACGCACCCACACACCTCATATGACTTCAACCCTCAACCCGCAAACCACCCATACGCACCCACACACCTCATATGACTTCAACCCTCAACCCGCAAACCACCCATACGCACGTGTGCCTGGCGTCACCAGCTGCTTTTTGAGGCTCATAAGAAAGCGTTGCGGCGTTGCCTGTGCATCCCAGTGCTGCACGGCTGCCTGTGCATCCCAGTGCTGCACGGCACAAACACGAGTTTTCACGTACTCTCAAACCACCCTTGTGCACGGGTGCCGGATGGGATGGTTCACCCGCTGCTCCCACCCACTCAATGTGTGTGCCACATACGTCCATTGCTCGCCCTGCTCTGCTTTAAGGCTCGAGCAGCTGGTGGCATGGATAGCTCTGGCCGGCGCCTCTGCGGCAGCGCCTGTTGAGCCGCCTCATAAGTCATTGCACCAATCAGCAACTTTCAGGTGCCCTCTCCCTGTGCCCCATCTCTCCACCGCGTCCCCCCTGTGCTGCAAGCAGCTCGTGGCATGGATTGCTCTGGTTGGCGCCTCTGCTGCAGCGAGGTGACTCGAAAGTTGCCTGGCATTGCCTGTAACCTGCGGATTCATCCCCACTCCCTGTGCCCCATCCATCCACTGTGTACCCCCCTGTCCCCCAATCAGCTCGTGGCATGGATCGCTCTGGCCGGTGCCTCTGCTGCAGCGGGTCTCACCAGCTTTGCCGACAAGGGATCAGGGATGGTGCAGCCAGGGTACTGCCAGGTGGGTGGGGAGTGGTGCAGGGAGGTAGTTCCAGGTGCTTTCCCCCATGCCCTCTGATTGGCTTTGAGGCAGGCCGAAAAACTAGAGACATCACACACTTTTGCGTCATCAGCTGCACGATGCCTTCCTCCTGCACAGAAAGCACGTTCTCACAAGTGATTTCCCACACACACACCCCCCGTTGACTATTGAGTCGACTCAAAAGTCAACTCCCACACACACACCCCGTGAAAGAAGGAGTGTTTTGAGACGTCTCGAAATCACGTTCTCAGGAGTGATTTCCCACACACACACCCCCATCTTCCACACTTTCCTCCTTAACCCGACTTGCTGCAAGCTCTCCCTTGCTTTTGGGCATGCGTACATCACTGCTCCTGCATACTTCACTGTCTGAGCACAGATGGGGCTGTTCTCCAGCTTCTGTGCGCGCACCAAGGCCACCAGCCACCATCAGTGCTTTCACCCAAACCTCATGCCCTGCTCTCCCCTGCCTGCCTGCATGCCCCGCTGCTTCCCCCCCACGGCTCCTGCCCGCCATGCAGATGGGGCTGTTCTCCAGCTTCTGTGCGCGCACCAAGGCTGCCACGGCAATGGCATTCATCACCTTTTTCGTCCTCATCCCCTCCCTCATTGCCTCTGCCACGCGAGCCGTTGTCAGCTGGTTCGAGGACTAGCGCCTCCTCTTGCCTCTTGGCTCTTGGCTCTAGCGCCTTGCGCTCCGGCTCATCCTGTGCCGATTACTTAGCTTGCTCACTACGCGCACAACCTATTCGTAGTGCACTCATACGGTGCTCTCCCCTTTCTAACACTGCTACACCCAGGTTAGGGACACATTGCTATTGAGATGTGAGATTAGCTTGTTGATCCATCTCACAATGTGCAGAACGATGCTATCCATTTCATTCCCGAGAGACACATGCTTGTGGTGCTGCAAGTGCGCAAAAAAAGCTGTGAGCTGCTTTAGGTAGGAAGCTCCACTCGGGTAGGAGTGAAGACGCAATCAGATAGCCTTTAACCTCAGCAACCAATTGCCAGCTACAACAAGGAGCAGCAGCGCCATAGAGGAAAAACAAAACAAAACACATCAAGCAATCCAACCAAGCAAGCATGCCCAGCCTGGGCATGGCCAGCATCTCCCTGACGTAGCCGGGGTGAGGGGCGCCGCAAAGCAGCACGCCTGGTGCCCCTCTCACGGGTTCTGCAGTGCGTTCTTTAGCTTCTTGCTGCCCTTGGGCTTCTCCAGCGGCTTGTCCATCCCGGCCATCTTGTTGTTGTACCGCGCCCTCAACGCATCGTTGTATGCCCACCTGACAGATGGAGGGGAAGGGGCACAGAGGTGTGGTGGAGGTGAGGTATGGAAGACGTGTATGTGCCCCCTTTGGGCTTCTTCAACGGCTTGTCGATCCCCGCCATCTTGTTGTTGTACCTCGCCCTCAACGCATCGTTGTATGCCCACCTACCCGGGAAGGGGAGGGGAGGAAGGGGAGTGAGAGATGAGGGGGTGGTGGGGGTGAGGCACAAGCGAATGCAGATGCGCAGGCTCGCCTGCCCACTGCCCTGGCCGTCATATTGTTGTTGTACCTCGCCTTCAACACATCGTTGTATGCCCACCTGGCAGGGGGGAGCGACAAGGGAGAGCGGGAGATGGGAGAGAGGGGGTAGTGTGGGGTAAAGATGGAGGGGAGGCCTTGTCCATCCCCGCCATCTTGTTGTTGTACCTCGCCCTCAGTGCATCGTTGTATGCCCACCTGCCCGGGGCGAGAGGGAGAAGCCAAGGAAAGAAGGGTCGTGGCGAGGCGCAAAGCACTGTGGATGTGTGGGTATGGTTGAAAGTCAGAAAACAGGCATGTTCGGAATGCGGAAGCAATCGATGATGGAGAGTGAAGCGGACAGGGAGTGGGGAGTGGGGGCAGGGAATGGCGGCAAGGAATGGGGGCAGGAGGAGTGGGGTTGAAGGCAGGAGGTACTGACGGGGAGTCCTGCTGGGTGGTGTCCTCGTTCACCAGATGCGTCCACTTGCTCCGCCCACTGCGCCCAAAGTGCTTCACCTGCTCTCCACACACCCACCACCGCACAGCACCGCATGGCACAGCATGGCACGCAGGGCGCACAGGCACACACACAGGCACACGGGACATGGGGATGAGAGGGAGGAGTTGAGATGGTGTGGGGAGAGGAAACAAAGAGAGGAAGCAAGCATGGGAAGAGGAGCAGAGGAGCTGAGGAAATGTAGAGAGCCATACGAGTGCCAAGGCTGCAGTCAACCCGCCTGAGAAATTTGCTTCTCAGCCACACATAGCGCCCCCCTCCCCAACCAGGCACCTCCCCACCACCTCCCCACCACCCCCCCACCAGCCTACCCTACCCTTTTGCATTCCCACCCTATACCCAATTCACCCAACTTCCCTTTCTCCCAGCTCCCCTTCCCGCGAGCACACAACACCCATTGCCCCCTTCTCATTCGCTCGCCGTGTGCCCGCCCAACTGCTCTACCTTGCTCTAGCTCACCAGCACCAGCACCAGCACCAGCACCAGCACCAGCACCAACCCCACACAGCACGCCCACCTGCATGCACAAATCGCCCTCACCTGCATGCACAAATCGCCCTCACCTGCATGGCGGCGGGCAGCACGCTCTTGTCCAGCCGGTCCTCCCCAGTGGCCTCCGAGTAATCCCGTGTGAAGATCTCGTCCGTGCCGGCCGTGCCGCCCTTGTCGTCCGCGCCAGCCTGGAAGAACGCGCCCTTGTGGTAGTATTTCTGCATGAACTTCCATTTCGTTTTCGTCTTGCCCGCGGGCGCCGCCTTGGGGTTGCGCCGCTCCCACTCGCGCCGCTCCTCCTCGGTCATGCGTGATATCCGCTCGCGTTCTTCCTTCTCCCGCGCCACGGCGTCGCGCTCCTCGCGCTCGCGCCGCACGCGCGCCTTCTCGCGCGCGCGCCACCGCTCGAACTCCTCCTCCGCGTCCATCTCGTCGTCCGTCTCCACGTCTTCCGCCGCCGCCCCCGCGCCGTCACCCTCCGCGCCGCCGCCGTCCTCCGCGCGCCGCTGCTCCTTCTCCTCCTCGCGCCGCACGTCGTCCACCACGAGCCGCCGCGTCTCCGCCTTGCGCTCCTCCACGCGCCGCCGCACCGCCTCCTCCAAATCGCGCTCCTCCTGCTCCACGCGCTCGCGCTCCGCAACCGTGTCGCGCTCGCCCTTGGGAACGAATACAGGCTTTATCATAGCCATACCGCCCCCTTCCTCCTCCGAATCTGTCTCATACTCAGACGATTCCTCCTCTTCTTCCTCCTCTTCCTCCTCCTCCTCGCCCTCCCCTAACGCTGCTAGCTCCTCCTCCTCCCTCTGCCGTTGCAACAGCCTCTCGCGTATCCTCCGCCGTCGCTCCTCGATCGCGTCTTCATCCTCCTCTTCCTCCTCCTCCTCCTCGCGCTCCTGCTGCTTCCTCTCCTCCTCCTCCCGCGTCGAGACAATCTCCGCCGCACGGATCTCCCGATGCCGCGCCACGGCCTCCTCCCTGTCGCGCCGGCTTTCTCCTAATCGCCGGAGCCGCGCGTCGTTCTCGGAAACCCTAACGCGCGTCAGCCGGTCCCCGATTTCTTCCCGCTCGTCCTCCGGTTCCCCGAACACGCCCCCGCGCGCCTCCTCCGCGTCGTCCGCCCATTCCGGCGCCTTTCCCGGCCAGTACCGCTTCACCTTCGTCTGCGCGATCCTTCCTCGAAGCTTCTCCCGGATCGCAATCGCCGCATCGCTGACGCCTGCCGCCACCGACATGGCGGGACGCTAACGCACGGCGAGAATGCGAGGCGGATAGAAACGAAGAGCGAAACGAGCCCTAACCACTGAAAAAAGCGAGGCAGACGAGGTGACCTTCACTGTCGGTCGTGGGAACCAGCGACGAAGATGGCTCCTCAGTGGTTCCTAAAGCAGGTCCTAATAACAATCGGCACGACTTGCGGGTGCGATAGACGCTCGGAGGTAACACGAATGCGCGGTCACCCGGTTCTGGAACGAAGAACTAAATGCTCTGCGGGCTACCACCTGGAACGCGAGGCGCGAGTTCATGTGCCAAGCAAGAAAGAGCCGTGGGTTCTTCGCTGTTGGAGCGCAAGTCAGCTGGGGTATTCAGGGCGTGAGTTTTCCTCTCGGTTCAAACTGATCCGCGATGGTTTAATGCGTTAAAATAAAATAACCGCTCTTAAATGTGGTTCAACGCACTGAACCGCGTCAAACGACGGATAAGCGAATATATGGCTCCACTGATTTGAAAACTATGCTAAGATGGGTTTCACTTATTTATATGTTACCCATTTTGAACTCCCTACACACCCTACAGCGCGTACTCTAAGACTCGTGAATGCCCTAGGGAAATGTGCGGCTAAACCAGGAAGCATCAGCATCGTGTCGTGTACGCGCTGTCGCATTATGGACCGTCCGTTCGTCGCCGCCGCGCACCTCGCCTCCGCGCATCCTGTCTCCGCCCCATGTGCTCCCGCCGCCGCTCTCCTCCGCCACGAGCACACTCTTGCCTGCCCGCTCCCGCCGTCCACCTCCGCCTTTTCTCCCCCTTCCGTCGCACGCGGCGTCGCCAGACGAACTTTATCCTATCGCAGCCGTCGCACGGCGACTGTCACGGCGACCGCGGGCTACGCGGCAGCGAGCAGCAGCGACGAGAGCGAGAGCGGAGGGAGCTCGGGGCGGCGCGCGGCGATCGACGTGGAGGGGCTGAGCCTGAGCCTGGGGCGCGCGCAGGTGGTGCCTTCTCGTGCCTGAAGGGCAGCTGTGGATGTTGCTGATTCGTCTGCTGACTTTGACTTACCAAATCCCAATTTCACTTACCGAATCCGTGAATATCGATGCATGCAGGTGCTGCGAGAATGCAGCCTGCGTGTGCCCGAAGGGCAGCTGTGGATGCTACTGGGACCCAACGGGTGTGGCAAGTCAACGCTGCTCAAGGTGGGTGTGAAAAGGTCAACCCTGGTCAAGGTGGGAGAGAGTCAACGCTGATCAAGGTGGGGGACTCGGCCGCGAGTGGATGCACCTCTCTGCATCATGCCACACCGCTCTGCACTGTGCTGTCCCCCCCCTTCCCCCCAGCAGGTACTAGCGGGGCTGCTGCAGCCCAACAGTGGGCGGCTGAGAGTGGACGCACCTCGCTCCTTCGTCTTCCAGAACCCCGACCACCAGGTGTGCTCAGGTGACAGAACCCCGACCACCAGGTGTGATCAGGTGGGTGCCAGGTGGGTGCCAGGTGACCGGTGACCGCCTGGCATGTGCTGACTATGAGGTGGGTGTCAGGTGTTGCCGCAGGTGACTGACGGGCCACTATCGCCACGCTGTCGCGCTGCTGCCCACTCACGCCCACATGTCGTCTCAAACCCCCCTCTCCACCTCTCTTCCCCACCATGCCTCCATCCATGCCCCTCCTCTCCCTATCCCTCCCTCCACCCACTTGGCCCTTGCTGCCAGGTCATCATGCCAACTGTGAATGCTGACGTGGCGTTCGGGCTGGGTCGGCTGAACCCGCCGCTGCCAGAGGAGGAGGTGCAGCGGCGCGTGGCAGAGGCCCTGGAGGCCGTTGGCATGGCGGAGTATGGGCAGGTGAGAGGAGTGTGGGCAGGTGAGAGGAGTGTGCTCTGCCCGGTGCTTCTGCTGTTGCTGACGAGTGGTGGCTGAAAGGTATGCAGCGGCGCGTGGCAGAGGCCCTGGAGGCCGCTGGCATGGCGGAGTATGGGCAGGTGAGGGTGTGACGACCAGGCCAGGTGAGGGCCGCCCCGCCCGTCTACCTGTGCAGTATTGGGCAGGTGAGCGGGAGCAGTACGGGCAGGTGCTGGAGGCCGTTGGCATGGCGGAGTATGGGCAGGTGAGTGCTGCCCTCCCACCCTCCCATCCCATGCAGTGTGGGCAGGTGAATGAGAGGAGTGTGGGCAGGTGAGTGAGCGGAGTGTGGGCAGGTGAGTGAGAGGAGTGTGGGCAGGTGAGTGAGAGGAGTGTGGGCAGGTGAGTGAGAGGAGTGTGGGCAGGTGAGTGAGAGGAGTATGGGCAGGTGAGAGGAGTATGGGCAGGTGAGGGAGGTTTGGGAAAGTGGCGAAGAGCAGCGGTAAGTACGACCAATGGAACATATCACGGCACAAACGGTGGTCATGGCTGGTTGAGGGGGTGAGCTGGCTTGTAGTCGTCTTAAAAAGTCAACCTACGAACGTGTGAGAGTCGAAACAGTGGACAGTTATGGTTGACGCGGAGAAATGGAGGAGAGGGGTGCGCATCGCAGGGGCAGTGGCAGCAGATATAGCGTCCCCTTTGCTCCTCGGTGGGGCCCACTTTGTTTCTATCAGTGTCCAGAAGCATTGCGTGCCATGCCATGCCATGCCACTCACACGACTGTCCATCTCTCCTCCTTCAAAACCATCCGCTGACAATTACCCGTTTCTCTCTGTTACCCTCATTGTTCGTCTCCCCTCTAGCGCCTGGTGTCGACGCTGAGTGGGGGGCAGAAGCAGCGGGTGGCAATTGCCGGGGCACTGGCGGAGGATTCACACACGCTGCTGCTGGACGAGCTCACCACCTTCCTTGACTCCGCTGACCAGGTCAGTCCTAGCCCTGCCACCCCCTCCCTGCCGCTTCATCCTTGCCTAGTCCTCCCTGCCAGCTTTTGAGGCGCCTCAAAAGTCATCCTTGCCTAGTCCTCCCTGCCAGCACTCCTTGTGCCAATCTTGAGAATTCCTGAATGTCACACAAGCAGCACTGGTGGGGGATTCACTCACGCTCCTTCTGGACGAGCTCACCACCTTCCTTGACTCCGCTGACCTATGTTGCGCCTTACGCGTCAGGCGTTTTTGACGCTGGCGTCTGGACGGGGCGTCCAGACGCTTGACGCCCGGTGCCCTCTGCCCTGGACGCCCGCTTGACGCTAGTCCGGGCAGGGCAAAAATGTTTTCCGGGCAGGGGTAAAAAAACCTGCCTAGTAAGGGTACGCAGGGGTTAGAATGCAAGAAGTTAACATTTGTCACCTATAGTTATAAATACTCCATAATATCCAGAAAATCCTGAAAATCTCCAGAAGGCGTGGAGGCACTAACAGAATGACTGGCGGGACTAGGAGTTGACATGATATCTTAATCGCCTTAACCTAATTTTAGCTAGGAAGGCTTAGTAGCGTGACTGGCGAATTCTAGTGTAAGGAATGCTTGACAATGTCGAGAGAAACAGATCTGTGTAATGTCGACCTAGATCTGGTTCTCTAGTTTAGTTGGGGGTCGACCAGGTTGGGAGAGGTAGATGTGGATGGGTACAAATGTGTGGGGGGGAATAAGTGAGGGTTGCGTTTTTTAGGTCAAAAACGCGGCCCCCAGATGGCAATTTCATCGTCAATTCTGGTCGCAATGAAATTGCGAGTCAATTTCGTGCAGGATAATTTTTTTTCGGGCTGCCCGAATTTTTTTTCCCCGAACGTCCAGCGTCAAACCGATTTGACGCGTCCAGCGTCCGGACGTTCACGTCCGGACGCTGGACGCTGCCCTTCCAGGGCGTCAGGCGCAACATAGCCGCTGACCAGGTCAGTCCCTGTTGCTTCCTCCCTGCCAACTCCCCTGTGCTTTGGCGGAGCATCCCCTCACACTCACGCTGCTGCTGGACGAGCTCACCACCTTCCTCGACTCCGCCCCCCAGGTCCGCTGCTTCCTGCTTCCCCTCCTCCGCCTCCTTGTTGCCAACTCCTTTGTGCTTCCTGCGTGCTTTCCCCCATGGGCATTCTCAAAGGGGGACCATTCGGAATGTCTGTGTGCCTCTCTCTGCGTTCAGAGGCTATCAAAACTTGAAATTCTTTTACTTTGGTTGCCAGGGGCCTGTATGGCTCCAATTGCGGAGTCTGTCTATCGAGCGTCACTGCAGCATGTGGCATGCATCACTGCAGCATGTGGCATGCGTCAGTGCAGCATGTGGCATGCGTCGTTACTGCACCATGTGTCAGCATGCCCCTTTCTCTCCGCTTCTCTCGTGCTGTACCCCCCTCTGCTCCCCATCTCCAATGCCAGTATGCAGTCATCAAGGCAGTGCGCAATGTGGTGTCGGGCAGCTCCCCAGGCAGCAGCAACACCGCACACATAAGCACAGACAGCAGCAGCACAGACAGAAGTGCAGGCAGCAGCAGTAGGACAGGGCGGCAGGGGCGGAGGGTGACAGCGCTGTGGGTGACGCATCGGCTGGAGGAGCTACAGTTTGCAGACGGGGCGGCATACATGGATGGCGGCAGGGTGGTGGTCATGGGGTCCGTGCCTCATGTTGTGGACTATATCACACGGCAGCAGCAACAGCAGCAGGCTGCCACTGCAGGGTCCTTCTGGTCTGCATTTGGTCCCACTTGAGTGTGCCATGGTTGCAGTGCAGGCCCTAGGGCAGTATATTTCAACGAGCTCAAGTCAGTGTGCTTGAAATTTTATACCCATGACATCAGATAGAAAGAACTTGTTTATGAACTTTACTATTGGCAGGATTCTTATGGAACCTTTGTATCTCTGCCTACGAGGTTGAGGTCATATCACAATGATGAGCGAAGTGTCCTTGCCCATGACATGACACTGCTATTGAGGTTACCCAGATGAGCAATTTACGTTCCTCCAGAATATGAAGCTCACGTTTCTCTGAAGAATTGGAAGAACTAACATTTAATGTAAAAATCTTGGTATGTTACACGAAGCTCCTTTTGTGAAAATCGCCCCCTTTGAAGGATTTATTTTCCAATGAGTTCGGTTAAGGCGCTAGATGTTTTACACAAGGCAAAGAGCATTCTTTTAGGGAGTACAGCGCATATCCTCCATTCAAAATTCCACTTCTGATGTGAATCCCAATGGCTGCTTATCTGAATCCAGCAGCCGAGCAATCCCAGAGCTCTGCGTTCCCTCAGCTACGACGATGATCCCTGAAAACGCTATCCATGGCGATGAACGATTTCCTTGCGAAAAGATTCGGCGAGGAGTGTATATCCCTCTTTTACAACCGTTGTAACAAAAACGTCCAGAAACGGCTAGGAATCTTGTGCGAAAGAGTGGCGGGAAAATGGTTACGCGCCTCGACGGACCCACGACCTTGAACTCACTGACACAGAGAGAATGCCCCCAAGCCTCCCAAACCGCAGGTTTCGCCTGACGCGACGCCACCAATTTCCCGAACCTGAACCCCCAGAAAAGGACTCTTTGAAATCCGTCCACACACCTAGCTCCTAGTTTTTCCACCGTTCGATTCGAGTGACGTGGCACGTTAACGAGTAGACAGCGACGCAGCCGAGGCTAGAACTCCAATGATGAGGCAGACGAGGCATATAGGCTTGGAGGCGGGGGTTTGTGCGGGCGAGGAAGGAATGCAAGTTGAAATGGAGTCGCTACAGTTGGAACTTTTCATTCTGGAACAGCTCTAAGCTGTTAGTAGTTCTGAATGCTAAGTTTCAAGAGTCTAAATTAGCAAGGCAGATTTGGTAGCATGAATTCTGTAAATTTCAGAAAGCAAGAATGGCATACAAGGGACGAAAGACTACTGTTATACACATTCCTATGACTATGGCGCCTTGAGAAGTTCGTTCAGGCCGCCATATCACCTTTCTCTGCTGTCTCCAGCTAGGAACAGAATATGTACAAGCAATGATAGCAATCCTATGCTGGATCCTAGCTGTTTATATAGAAATATGCAAAGTACAATCATGAGATGGTTCTAGAAGAGCACTAGCTGACTTGGTCTTCTACTTCATGATGATGGTACTTGGGTCTTGTGGTGCTGGAACGTATTTACAGCTGTATGGCATGGCTAGTTGCTCTGCTGTCGTAAAGATGCTCAGATACTCTCTTCTCTGCTGCTTTGCTGGTTGGGAATTCACGTGTGCTTTGAGAAATCCCGAAGCGCACATTTCAGGTTGGGATTTCCAACCTCGAATTTGACATTTCAGATTGGGTTTTGGCGAAAGTTACAAGTTCGCTAGTGAGCGAACTTTCCTGTGACGAGCTCGCCTTCGCCCTGTAACATTACTCCCCCCTCCAAGGGGCACCGTCCTCGGTGCACCAGCAGATGCAAAGTAGGCAGAGATAGCTCGTTGTGCATGCTCTAAGTCCTTCTCTGGAATCCAGAGATTTTCTGCATCATCATGCTCACGCCACTTAACCAGGAAATATCTGCCACTAGGTGTTGTTTGATGAGCAAGGATCTTCTCAACTTCGAACAAATCAGGGCTTGGAGTGAACATGGGAGGACGAGATGGCTGAGAAGTAGGGAGAAAACGAGCTGGAGGGTCATGATATGGGCGTAGTAGCTGGACATGGAAGACTGGATGGATGTTGATGTGAGGAGGAAGTTTCAGACGGTATGTGAGTGGAGAGAGGACCTGTGTGATTGTGAAGGGACCAATGAAGCGAGGTGCGAGCTTGCGGGTGAGGCCTTGAGTGAGTAGGGGCAGATTTGTGGTTGAGAGAAGTACTCTGTCTCCTACATGAAAGCGGATGTCACGTCGGTGCTGGTCTGCATAGTGAATCATGCGCTGCTGTGCCCTGGAGAGTGAGGTGCGTGCTGCTGCTATGGCTTTCTCTTTGTCCTTCAGAAACGCCGTTGCTGCAGTATCACGCTTGGGGCTGTGAACCAGTGAGGTAGGAGTGCGAGGGTTCTGTCCAGTAGCTAGGTAGAACGGGGTCTGTCCAGTAGCAAGGTTAACGGTGCTGTTGTAGGAGAACTCGATTTCTGGCAGGTGGGTGTCCCAATCGTTCTGGCGAGCGTTGACACATGCACGCAAGCCATCTTCCAGAGTTCGATTCATTCTCTCGGTCTGCCCATCAGACTGAGGGTGGTAGGCAGTTGAGAGGCGAATCTTGGTACCCATCCTGTTGAAAAGGGCCTGCCAGAATCTGCCAACGAAACGGGAGTCACGGTCGGAGATAAGGACAGAGGGAATACCGTGAAGACGTACTATTTCTGTGAAGAAACGTTCAGCAACGTCTTCGGCAGTGGCAGTGGTGGAAGTGGGAATGAAATGGGCCATCTTTGTGAGTTTGTCAACCACAGTGAGAATGGCGTTGTGATGGGTAGCAGTGAGAGGTAAATCAGTGATGAAATCAAGGGTGACATGGCTCCATGGTGTCTCTGGAATTTCCAGGGGATGTAGGAGGCCATAGGGAGGGGAATTGCGAGCTTTGTTGCACTGACAGGTATGGCAGCTGCGCACGTAGGAGCGGACATCACAGTAGATGTTAGGCCAGAAAAAGTTTGATGTGATTGCAGCCACTGTTTTGTCCACTCCGAAGTGTGAATTCTGATCGTGATGCTCGCGTAGGAGGAGGAGACGGAGTTTACGGTCAGAGGGGACACAGATAGTGTGAGAATCTGCTTTGTACCAGAAGGGAGGGTCAAAGTAGTATGCTTTGTCGGAAGGGGCAGAATGGAGGTAAAAGTTATCATGACGGTATCCCTTGGAAAATTTCTTGGTGAAGTCTGGGTCCCATGTCACGCTGCCGATCACAGCAAGCTGAGAGGTTGGGGGACGAGAGAGAACATCGGCAGGGTTTGTACGGCCAGCACGATACTCAATTTTCAGCTCTGGAACGTACTGCTCAAGAAATTCCATCCATCTTGCCTGCCGTGGTGTGAGATGAGGTTGCGTCTTCAAGTGCTGCAGAGTGCAATGGTCCGTCAAGACCGTTACCGGCTGCATGTGAACGTAGCAACGCCACTTCTTGATAGCGTTGACTATGGCCAGCGCTTCGCGGTCATGAGTAGCGTAGTTGCACTCGGCTGGTTTCAGCTTCCGTGAGTCAAACGCGATGGGCTGAAGGCCATGTCCTTGGTCTTGACACAAGATTGCACCTGTAGCAACTTGAGATGCATCTGTCCAGATGACATAAGGAAGGGAGGGGTCGGGTAGGACTAGGGTGGGAGAAGAGGTAAGAGCATGTTTGATGGTGGTGAAGGCTTCTTCCTGTTCAGGTCCCCAATGAAAAGGCTGCTGCTTGCGAAGAAGGTTAGAGAGGGGTGAGGTGATGGCTGCAAAATGGTTGATGAATTTTCTGTAGTAGTTGGCAAGGCCAAGGAAGGCTTGAAGGTCCTTGATGGAAGTGGGCTGGTTCCAGTTTTTAATGACCTGAATCTTGGTGGGGTCCATAGCAAGCTGATTATGAGAGATGATATGACCCAGGAAAGGGATGGAGGATTTTGCGAACTCACACTTGCTCTCTTTTGCAAAAAGCCGGTGTTCGCGAAGCTTCGTGAGTACCTGGCGTAGGTGCTCAGAGTGTTCTTTCAATGACTTGCTGAAAATCAGAATGTCATCAATGAAAACAATGACAAACCGATCAAGGAAGTCACGAAAGATGTTGTGCATCAAGCACATGAAGGTGGCAGGGGCATTTGTGAGTCCAAAGGGAAGTACAAGGAATTCAAAATGCCCATACCGGGTTCGGAATGCTGTTTTCTCGATGTCTTCTTCAGCGACGCGAACCTGATGGTAACCGCTTCGAAGGTCAAGCTTGCTGAAAATTTTGGCCTCGCCGAGTTGCTCGAAGAGTTCCTCCACTCGCGGGAGCGGGTATCGGTTCTTGATGGTGAGTTTGTTGAGGGCACGGTAGTCTATACACATGCGAAGGGAGCCATCCTTCTTTTTCACAAAAAGGATGGGGGCTGCGTAGGGGGAAGAGCTGACACGAATGAAGCCCTTTTCAAGGAGTTCCTCCAGTTGAGCTTGGACTTCCTTCAGTTCAGCAGCGCTCATGCGGTAGGTAGCACGAACAGGAGGTTCAGATCCAGGTTTTAGCACGATCCGGTGATCCACTGAGCGCTTGGGAGGAAGTCCTGTTGGGAGGTCTGAAGGAAACACATCTTGAAAATCAGTGAGGACTTTCTGAATTTCTGCAGGAGGAGTAGGATTTGGAGAAGAAAGGGCTGAAGGGGCTTTTGAGGTTTGTTGCAGCAAGCAAACGAAGAATTGAGCCTGAGGGTCTTTGGAAAGCTTCTTCAGCTGTCTCACAGAGATCACACTGCAGCTGGGTGAGGAAGAGGAGGAAGGGATGGTAGGAAGGGTGATTTCAGCTCCACTGTGCACGATGGTTACTGTTCCAGCAGTCCAATCAATCCGTGGGTTCTTGGATGAAAGCCAATCACGCCCGAGGATTAGATGATGCTCTCCCAAAGGTACTTGCTGGAACTGGAGCTTGTCTTTGTATGAGCCCATGGTGCAGCTGATTGGGAAAGGAGTTGGGCCACACGTGATAGAAGCTCCGTTCGCTATCTGCACTGTTTGGGAATGGGAATCTTGCTGGATAGGAAGAGATAGTTCAGAGACAAGATTTGAAGAGATGAAGTTGGAAGAAGCTCCACTATCAATCAGGGCCTTGAAGGTACGGTTTCGTATGCTTATGGAAATGAGAAGAGGGTTGGATGGGATGGTGTTTTCAAGAGAGATGATGGAAGGGCTCTGCAGGTTGCCAGAAAGTCGCCCCAAGCTTACTGGCGGTGACTGTTTTTTGGTGTTGGAAGTAACGGAGGTCGGCTGGAGCGTTCGCGGCAGAACCTCCATACATGGCCTTTCTTGCCACACTTGAAGCAGACGACATCGTTCTTCACAGGTTTCTTGCCCTTCTCCATCACGTCCAGGTCCATAGGAGTAGGTTCTTGCTGGTTGAATGTTGCTGAGGATGATGGCTGATGGGAGGGAGCAAAAGGGAGAAACGGGCTGCGAGGAAATTGTGCCTTGTATGCGAAATGAACAGCGTCATACCGTTCAGCGACACGTATCATTTCCTCGAGCGTAGTGCAGTCCCTTAGCTCGACCTCCATGCGGACGTTGGATTTCAGGCCGCGCTTGAAGCGATCCATTTTTTCAGCACTGGACAGGTCAGGTATCTCTTGTGCAACATCACGGAAGCGCGCCGCGTACTCCTGGACGGACTTGAGTTGCTTGAGGGCAGCCAAGCGATCACGAGCTTTGAGTTCCGGGTTCACTGGTTGAAAAGCAGCCGTGAAGAGTTGCTTAAACTGCTCCCATGACTGAACAGAGGTGTGGATGGACTGCCACCAAGTGATCGCAGAACCTCGAAGAAGCGTTCCCGTGAATGATGCCCACTCAGCAGGTGCAACGTGGCTCAACAGCAAGTACTGCTCGACAAGGAATAGCCATCGGCCCACGACTGGCTGAAACTTTCCTGGCGTGAAGAGATCTGGCATAGCGGGTCTAGCGCGCTGATTTCCATCTGAGGGTGCAGCAGTGTTCACACTTGCTGCCACCGAACCGGCTGCAGCTATACTGGCTCGAATTTCAGCTTGCAAGCTCTCTCGAAGTTCAGAAACGATTTGGGCTCGGTAGTTCTGCAAAAAATTAGCCCAATCCTCAGAGGACGGAGGTCCTAAGTCAGACGTCATGACGTAGTCCTAGCAGGTCGTAATCTAGCTCGGATACCAAATGGAACAGCTCTAAGCTGTTAGTAGTTCTGAATGCTAAGTTTCAAGAGTCTAAATTAGCAAGGCAGATTTGGTAGCATGAATTCTGTAAATTTCAGAAAGCAAGAATGGCATACAAGGGACGAAAGACTACTGTTATACACATTCCTATGACTATGGCGCCTTGAGAAGTTCGTTCAGGCCGCCATATCACCTTTCTCTGCTGTCTCCAGCTAGGAACAGAATATGTACAAGCAATGATAGCAATCCTATGCTGGATCCTAGCTGTTTATATAGAAATATGCAAAGTACAATCATGAGATGGTTCTAGAAGAGCACTAGCTGACTTGGTCTTCTACTTCATGATGATGGTACTTGGGTCTTGTGGTGCTGGAACGTATTTACAGCTGTATGGCATGGCTAGTTGCTCTGCTGTCGTAAAGATGCTCAGATACTCTCTTCTCTGCTGCTTTGCTGGTTGGGAATTCACGTGTGCTTTGAGAAATCCCGAAGCGCACATTTCAGGTTGGGATTTCCAACCTCGAATTTGACATTTCAGATTGGGTTTTGGCGAAAGTTACAAGTTCGCTAGTGAGCGAACTTTCCTGTGACGAGCTCGCCTTCGCCCTGTAACACATTCCCACTTCCTCTGCCGTTCTGTCGATCTGCAGTGAATAACCTTTTCAGAAATCAGCCTGTGTCGAACGATCAGTTTCTGTTCAGCGATCTGCAGTCAAGTAACATGGCCTCTCTTGCTGATATCTGCACTGTTGACTCGGTTTCTCAAACCTCGAGCAGTCCTGCAACGCCTACGAGAGGCATTGGCAGGTTCGGAACCCCGCGAACCGTTTTCTCGCCTGTAAGAAACTCTCCTGCCAAGCCTGCTCCTTGCAACGACGACGGTGAGACGTACTGGAGCAGCGTGCTTCTGAAGAGCGTGAGGCCGCTGCTGGAGAAACTGGCGAATCACCTCCCTGACGGCCAGCACAAGCCCTCCAAGGAGCATATACCTGACGCACCTGATGTGAAGCGGCCTGGAATCGGCCGCTTCGGAGGCAAGCCTGCTGCTGCCGTGCTTGCACCTGCACCTGTGGTCGTCACTGCTGCTGCTGCTGCTGCTGCTGCTGCTGCTGCTGCTGCTGCTGCAGTCACACCGTTTGCTGTGGTTGCGCCTGTGGTGGTGCCTGAGGTAGCGCCTGTGGCTCCAGTGGCTTCAACCACACCACAGGTGGCTGAAGCGTCTGTGACCACGGAAGCATTTTTGGAGGAGCCGCGTGCAGGTGCTGCTGATCTGCGTGAGCAGAAAGCCAGATGGGACAAGCTGCGTCAGGAGGTTCTTGCAATGGATATTGAAATGACGAAGTTGAGAGCACGTGCTGCTTACCTGAGATGGGCCAAGCTGGACCAGGCAACGTGGGCCAGGGACATTGAAGCCGCCATTGAAGCCTGCCTTCCTGCCTGGATCGCGCAGGGTAAAACAGTTCCTCCTGTATCTGCAGCTGCAGCGACTGTAGCAGAGTCCGCAGCACCAGCTGCTCCCTCTGCAGCATCAGCAACAACAGTGAAATCACCTGTTGCGGCATCACCAGTGAGAGGAGCTTCACCAGCAGCACAGGCGTCAAGACCTGTTGTTGGAGCAAGGTGCAAGGTGAGGGGTGAAACCGTGAAGGGCAAGAATGGGTGCAGTGGAAAGGCGGTGAGCACTGGTGTGAAGGGTGGCAAGGGCAGCAGCAAGCCTGCAGTCTCTGGCCCATGTGCAGCAGCAGCAGCAGTTGCGGGTTCACGTGGTGGTGCATCATCAGTGAGTGCAACTTGCAAGGCCAGCAGCAGGCAGGCGAGTGGGGTGAAGCAGAGAGAGGAGGGTGGGTGTGGGGAGGGAGCAGCAGGGAGGGCAGCAGGTGGAAGGCAGGGTGGTGTGAAGGCAGCAGGTGGCAGAGCAGTGGCAAGTGGCGTGTGTGGCAGGGAGGGGGTGAAGCAGCAGGCGGGGAGGAGAGAGGGTTTGGTGCATGAGAGGCAGGCGAAGCCAGGCTGCAGCAGCAGCAGGGCGCACAGAAGGAGCTCCTGTTAGAGCCCTCAGTGCATTGCCGGCATTCCCACCTGCTGCTGGGAAGGGCCTCCTCCTCACAACCCTGACGGGCATGAGCTGCGGAGGGGATTCATGGAGAGCATCAACTGTACATAGACATGTGGCTGCATTGAATGGTGCGGTGGAACAACGGTGACACCAACCGAACAACTCCCAGCTGCTGTTGGGAGTACGTAATGACTTGTAGGCAGATGTGTACACTGTATATTACTAGAACATGTTGCTTTTGTTTCTGCTAGGACAAGACCTTTACTTGTAAGTTGAAATCCATATAAAATGTATTTGTTACCGTATCTCATTTGGATAGAATGATGATTCATAAACAGATCTGCCTGATACAGATCACAGTATTGTCAGAATGTCCTCTTGGCTACAGCTGGTTTTTAAGGTGATGGCTTGTGGGAATTCAACGGGATTCCATACTTTTCATGGGACTGTTCACTCTACTTTGCGTACTGATGAATAATAAGCACATCTATTCTCCAGCAGACAAGGTTCCTCAACTGGCACAGCACAGCATCAGTAGATGGACATGGCACCTGCACCCACATGAATGTGTAGGATGGGCTTGGTGATTTGGGCATGATCATAGATACCGTCAGCCCCCGGATAGAAGCGCCCCTGGGGTTATAAAAAAACACGTTTTTTTAGGGGGTGGGCTTACAATCGAGGATTTTTATAAGCGCCGGGGCTTATATAATGGCATATATAAAATTTTTCGTTTGTACACCAAACTGTAGATCCCGTTCTCGCGAGTTGAATCGAGTCAAAACTATACAGGGTTGCGATTGAGAATCTCGCTTGCAAGTTGGCAGGGATTGATTCCCTGCCAACACACACAGTCAGAATGAGTCAACGTGCACCCCTGACAGCTCATTCTGACTGGACGCGCTGGCAGTGAGCCGAGCGAGGGTGAAGGGCATCGAAATTCAAAATGTGGGAATGGAGATGTTGAGTTTCGTTACGATGAATTCAGTAAAATTATAGTTAGAAAAAAAAGGGTGGCGCTTATAATCCGTAAGCCTTCAGGGGTGCGCTTATAATCGAGGACCGGATATAAGCGCCCTCATCCTTTTATAAGCGCCGGCGCTTATCCGAGGCCTGCGCTTCTATCCGGGGGCTTACGGTACATGGGCACATGGGCTTGGTGATTTGGATGAAATAGGATGCGATGCGATGGGATGGGATGCGATGCATGGGATGGGATGGGATGGGATGGGATGGGATGGGATGGGATGGGATGGGATGGGATGGGATGGGATGGGATGGGATGGGATGGGATGGGATGGTATGGGATGGGATGGGATGGAATGGGATGGGATGGGTTGGGTTGGGATGGGATGGGATGGGATGGGATGGGATGGGATGGGATGGGATGGGATGGGATGGGATGGGATGGGATGGGATGGGATGGGATGGGATGGGATGGGATGGGATGGGATGGGATGGGATGGGATGGGATGGGATGGCATGGCATGGCATGGGATGGGATGGGATGGGATGGGATGGGAAGGGAAGGGAAGGGAAGGGAAGGGAAGGTAAGGTATGGGATGGGATGGGATGGGATGGGATGGGATGGGATGGGATGGGATGGGATGGGATGGGATGGGATGGGATGGGATGGGATGGGATGGGATGGGATGGGATGGAATGGGATGGGATAGGTTGGGATTTGGTCTGAAGCACACACATAAAACCAACCGAGCAGGAATAAAAGCATTAATACAACAGGTTGGATAAAAAAAAAAAAAAAAAAAAAAAAAAAAACCTGCTTACTTTTGAGAGAAATGGAGATACGGGACAGCAAGGATCATGGGAGGATCAAGGACGATTTCCTGGCTGTTTGGAACAGCAGGGGATGATGGAGGCAGCAAGGGACAATGGGAAAGCCAAGAAATTATGAGAGCAGCTAGGGGTGATGGGAGATGGAATGTATGATAGGTACACACACACATGGCATATTCAGTGCAAGGACAGAAACATGGCATATTCAGTGCAAGCACACACATGGCATAATTCAGTGGACACACACACATGGCATAACACACACACACATGACATCGTCCAGTGCACACACACACACGGGATGATTCAGTGCATAAAATTTCGTCATGTACACTGTACACACATGGTTTCTCACATGGCATGCCCAGCTGCTGACGTGGCATTGCAGGTTTTCACATGGCATTCCATCTTCTGACATGGATTCCAGCTGCTGACATGGCAGGGAAGTATGTCAAGCCATAGATGGTCACTTTCTCCCATGTTGTCATTACAGGCGCAGCACTTCTGATTGGGGGAGCGCATGTAGAGGGAAATATAAGGGCGAAGTGAAGCAGAGAGGAAAAGAAGGGCAAATGACGTCGAAGTAAGGAGAATAGGAGAGGATGGAGGAGAAAAGGGAGGGGGGGGTTTCTGGGAGAATGGGAGGGGATGGGAGAGAATGGGAGGGGATGGGGGAGATGATGAAACGGAGAGGAGGGGCAGGGCGAAGGGCAGGGGAGAGGTGCGCGGGGAGCAGCGGAGAGGGCGAGCGCGGGTGCTGTGGGTGGAGGGCATGTGAGTGACATGCACGCATCGCTTGATGCGATGTCATGTGCGTGCAACATGCATGTATATATGTGCAGTGCATGCATCACGATTGCCTGCACGAGCATGCGAGCATGCAGGAGTGGACCCTGACAGCATACCTCGTCATGTATGTCAAATGGAGCCAGCACTGCGCAGCATTGCACAGCATACTTCTCTCCCCCTACCCACCACTGCGCAGCATACTTCTCTCCCCCCACCACTGCGCAGCATACTTCACTCCGCTGCACTACCCTTCCCGATGGACATTTCCTCCCTCTCCCCTCCCTCCGCTGCACTTGTCTCCCCTGGACTTCACTCCATTGCGCAGCTTACATCCCCTCGCAGTTCTTTCCGCTGCACTTCACTCCGCTGCACTTCCCTCCGCTGCACTCCACTTCGCTGCTCTCTGCTGGACATCCCATCCCTCTCCCCTCGTCTCTCCCGCCCCTTGCTTCCGCTCCACATCCAACGCCCTTCTCCTGCTCCTTCCGTCCCCCCGCAACCCGTATCCCCCACCTCTCCCACCAGCCACGTCACATAAGCGCGGCCATATTAGCGCGCGACAGGAGGAAACGGCCTGTGAGAATTTCGTTCCTCCCCCCTTCGCCTCCATCCTCGCCTTCTGCTCTTCGTGTCGCCCATTCCGTCCATTACCCTCATTCCGCTTTGCCTGCTCGTCCAGAGGGAATCGGCGAAGCTGGTCTGAGAGTTCGCATTTCCCGCCAGCATCAAACGGCGGGTGAAAACCGCATTTCATACGTGAATCCCTAGAACAGTGATCACTTGTGCGATTAATTTCGATTATGATTCGTGATAAGGCCAAAAATCGCAATCGCCAGTGCAATCGTAATCGCTTGACCGCGCGCTCGTAATCATTGAGCGCGCACTCGTAATCGCTGGAACGCGCGCTCGTAATCGCTTGTGTGCGCTTGTAATTGTGCATCCGTAGTTTGTGCAAATCGTAATCAAGCAAAATTGGAGTTCTGGGGGATTTCGTCTTGGTCACCAAGAAAGGGTTTTCGTTCACCAAAACACGCTGCATCGCGACATTTACTTTTCGAACCGCTTTGTATCGCAGGATCTTCTTATTTGAACACCTCGAACACAGGAATTTATGTCCAGCTAGCACCCAAATGAACTAGCCAGCTCACATAGCTTATAAAGCGGACAGCACCTAAATTGAACATTGCCATACAGACTGAATTTCCGACCAGTGAACTTAGCGACGGAGCTCAGAAATCTTATAGAGCGGACAACACAGATTATCCCTCCCCCCTTGGTTCTTCGCCAACACACAGACGCAAATCCCAAGGCCTGCTCATTCAGATGCAGCAACCCAATCCCTCGGCTCTGCATTTCCTCAGCCGCCATGCTTTGCGACATCCCTGTAGGACCGTCGCGTAGAGTTTTTCGATTGCGTCGCAAATTCTTTAGCGAAACGTGTTTCCACTATATTTATCGTAACAAATTGCCCCAGAAACGGCTAGGGGAAAACCGAGGACGAAAATGAGCGGGAAAGTTGTTGGGGCGCCTCGAGGTCTCACGAATCCGAAACGCACCGAAACCAATAGGATGTTCCCGAACCTCCCACACCCGTTGTTTACGCCTGACGCGGCGCCATCAAGATCCCGAACCTGAACCCCAGCGAGAGACGCCTTGAAATCCACCCACACGCCTCGCTGCCAGGTTCCCAACCGTCAGATTTGTCTGGCATGGCATGCTCATGGGTAGACAGCGAGGCACGCCGAGGCTGGAGCTCCAATGTTCAGGCATGTGGGGGTGGAAGGAGGGGGGGTTGAGCAGCCGAGGGCGGAGTGCAGTAGAAATGGGGTCGCCAGGATTGGAACCTACCATTCCCAGTTCCTCTTCCGTTCTGTCGATCAGCAGTGAATAACCTTTTCAGAAATCAGCCTGTTTCAATCGATCAGTTTCTGTTCAGCGATCTGCAGTCAAGTAACATGGCCTCTCTTGCTGATATCTGCACTGTCAACTCGGTTTCTCAAACCTCGAGCAGTCCTGCAACGCCTACGAGAGGCATTGGCAGGTTCGGAACCCCGCGAACTGTTTTCTCGCCTGTAAGAAACTCTCCTGCCAAGCCTGCTCCTTGCAACGGCGACGGTGAGACGTACTGCAGCAGCGTGCTTCTAAAGAGCGTGAGTCCGCTTCTGGAGAATCTGGCGAAACACCTCCCTGACGGCCAGCACAAGCCCTCCAGGGTGCATGTACCCGACGCACCTGATGTGAAGCGGCCTGGGATCGGCCGCTTCGGAGGAAAGCCTGCTGCTGCCGTTCTTGCACCTGCGGTCGTCACTGCTGCTGCTGCTGCTGCAGTCACACCGTCTGCTGTGGCAGCGCCTGTGGCTCCAGTGGCTTCAACCACACCACAGGTGCCTGAAGCGAGTGTGACCACAGAAGCAACATCGGAGGAGGCGAGTGCAGGTGCTGCTGATCAGCGTGAGCAGAAAGCCAGATGGGACAAGCTGCGTCAGGATGTTCTTGCAATGGATGTTGAAATGACGAAGTTGAGAGCACGTGCTGCTTACCTGAGATGGGCCAAGCTGGACCAGGCAACGTGGGCCAGGGACATTGAAGCCGCCATTGAAGCCTGCCTTCCTGCTTGGATCGCGCCTGCTAAAACAGTTCCTCCTGTATCTGCAACTGCAACGACTGTAGCAGAGTCTGCCGCACCAGCTGCTCCCTCGCCTGCAGCTGCAACAACTGTGAAATTACCTGCTGCGACATCACCAGTGAGAGGAGCTTCAGCAGCAGCAAAGCAGTCAAGACCTGCCATTGCAGCAAGGTGCAAGGTGGGGGGTGAAACCGTGAAGGGCAAGAATGGGTGCAGTGGAAAGGCGGTGAGCAGTGGTGTGAAGGGTGGCAATATCAGCAGCAATGCTGCAGTCTCTGGCCCACGTGCAGCAGCAGCTTTTGTTGCGGGATCACGTGGTGGTGCATCATCAGTGAGAGCAGCTGGCAAGGCCAGCAGCAGGCAGGCGAGTGGGGTGAAGAGGAGAGAGAGGGTTGGGTGTGGGGAGGGAGCAGCAGGGAGGGCAGCAGGTGGAAGGCAGGGTGGTGTGAAGGCAGCAGGTGGCAGAGCAGTGGCAAGTGGCGCGTGTGGCAGGGAGGGGGTGAAGCAGCACGCGGGGAGGAGAGAGGGTTTGGTGCATGAGAGGCAGGCGAGGCCAGGCTGCAGCAGCAGCAGGGCGCACAGAAGGAGCTCCTGAGAGAGCCAGCATCGGAATGATTGCTGTCAAAATGAGAACATACATGGGTAACACTCAAGGATGTGCTGGAATAATTGTGACGATGGAACAACTCCCAGCTGCTGTTGCGAATATGTGATGCAGAGTGTGAAATCTGTACACTGTATATTACTAGAATACCGTATGTTTATACTTGTAGCTTTGCTCTATGAGTAAGGCTTGTAATTTCCAATTAGATTACAAAATCTATGTTTTGTCATCTCCATGAAAGCAATGCAGCTTGGTAGGAAGATTGCACCACAGCACTTAAACACAGAGGATCAATGCTTGTCATCTGAGTTTTTTTTTTGTGTGGAAGGAACCCTCAATACCGTATGCTTGCATCGAAGGGTCATCAAGCGCTGTTTCTTCAAAGGAATCATTCTGATGCAAGGGTTGATTTAGAACCTCAGCTGGGGCAGAACAGAATCCAGCAAAAATTGAAGCAGGGCATCCCAGAGGGACATGTTTTCTTCTAACAACTGGAACAATCCTAACTGCTTTTGGGGATACAGGTATTAGGCATGATGATACTTGGAACCTGCACCGCATGCCTGCATGGGGTTACATGTGTGCATGGGTACATGAGTGCACTGGTCGGTACATGTGTGCATAGGTACATGGGTGCATATCTGCATGGATGCATGCCTACAAATGCGCATGTACACATGTGCACATGGGTATGTGGATGCATGGGTATGTGGATGCATGGGTATGTGGGTGTATGGTTGTATGAGTGCATGGGTGCGTGGTTTCATGGATGCGTGGGTTCATGGGTGCGTGGTTTCATGGGTGCGTGGCTTCATGGGTGCGTGGTTTCATGGGTGCGTGGTTACATTGGTGCGTGGGTACTATGTGGGTGCAGGGCTAACTGGGTGCATGGGTGCGTGAGTATGTGGGTACATGAGTATATGGGTGCATGATGCATCGGTGCATGCGTATGCGTTCAGGGTCATCTAGCATATGCAAGATACTGGGTGGAATGATGTGCCTCGGAGCCTTGGATCAAGGGCAGCAAGGAAAGAGAGCGTTTGTGGAGTGAAGAAATCCCAAATGGGGAAGTGAGGCAAGTGAGGGAGGAGTGAGAATCAGGAGTGGTGTTGGGATAAGGGAGAAAAAGCGAGAGGGAGAGTGAAAGGAAGTAAGGGAGGAGAAAAGCAGGTTGAATGCATGGCAAGGGAGAGTGCTCAATTTCTACAAGTGTCGTGATGGTAACCTACGGGGAGGAAACAGCATTGCATTGAGATGGGATGGGCTTGGATTGGACGGCGAGGGATGGGATGGGATGGGATGGGATGGGATGGGATGGGCTGCGTTGGGCCATACACGGGAATCATTGCAGGCATGGTTGTTGCATGGGCGGAGACGGGCCAAATGCCTCGATGGTGCGAGCAGCGAGGATGAGTGAGTCCATGAAGGCGTTGAAGGCCGCCCGCAGCAGACGAGCGTCGGGGCACGAGAAGGAGCTGCAAAAGGAGGGGGAGGAAGGATGGTGGGATAGGACTTTGAGGTGCCTAGGGAAATGGTGCAGGCAGCGAGGATGAGCGAGTCCATGAAGGCATGCCCGCAGGAAACGAGCATCAGGGCACGAGAAGGAGCTGCAGAGGGGGTCAGTGGTGCATGTTGGGATAGAAAGGGATGGCATGGGGGAGCGAGGATGAGTGAGTCCATGAAGGCGTTGAAAGCTGCGCGCAGAAGACGGGCGTCGGGGCACGAGAAAGAGCTGCCGAGGAGGGTGGGGGGGTGGGATGGTGGTTGGAATGAGAGGATGAGCGAGTCCATGAAGGCGTTAAAAGCCGCTCGCTGCAGACGAGCATCGGGACAAGGGAAGGAGCTGCAGAGAGGAGGGAAGGGGGGTTGGGTGGTGGGCATGTGAGGATGAGCGAGTCCATGAAGGCATTGAAGGCTGCTCGCAGGAGACGAGCATCGGCACACGAGAAGGAGCTGCAGAGGGAGGGAGGGAGGGCAGGGGTTTGTGGGGGAGGGAAGAGTGACTGTTGAGGTGAGGAGCCTCATAAAAGGAGAGATTGGTCGAAGGCTAGTCAATGAAAACTGTGGTGTGTGTGTGGCATATATGGCAAGCGTCTCAAAAATACCCTTTTTACGCGTACGGGGTGTATGCAACATCTGTGGAATAGTCGCACTAGCCTCTTCAAAACAACATTCCAAGTCCTTCGAGAACGATTACAAGCAGTCGAGGGAGAACGCCAGGCAGGCATCCCCCATGCATAGAGAAGACAGGCAGAAGCAGCACGGCACGAGGCAATACACAGAGTGAAGAGTGCAGCACACACGGAAACAGGCAGAGATGAGCAAAGGGGATGCACAAAAGAGCTGCACACGCACTACAGGACGATAAGAGCCCACACTTTACAACGGCAGTCCGTAATTGCAACTGGTTGTGGAAGATTGGGATGGGGCGTACACTGAGACGTGGGTATCATGGACTGTGATCACCCGCACGAGCTTGTCTGGTTGCAGCTGCCAGTGGTGATGGGGGACACGGAGGGATGGCAAGCAAATGAAGTGAGAGTGGTTGGTGATGGTTGGGGTTGGTCGGTGATGGCTATTGACGGTTGGTAGTGGAAAGAGTTGTGGTGAAAGGAAACAGCACAGCCAGAGGTGCTTTTGAGTCGACTCAAAAGCAGAGTTGTGGTGAAAGGAAACAGCACAACCAGAGGTGTGGACCTCCCGAATGACAGATGGCAAGGAAAAGCCTTACAGGAGCGTGAGAAAGCGTCAAATCAGGGGGTCATTGGCGTGAAAAGGCCCCACGCCATCTCCCTAAACTGGTTGGCATGGGAACACCGCACATCACCGTATACCCTCACCCCACCGCACATCACCGTATACCCTCACCCCACCGCACATCACCGTATACCCTCACCCCACCTCGGGGTCGACTGCAAGTGTGTTGCGCAGAATGAGCGCCTCCTCTGGCGACCCACCTTAGGTAGGTGTGGCGTGGGAAGGCGTCACCTGGCTGACCCCTTAAAGCCTCACCTCGGGGTCGACTGCGAGTGTGTTGCGCAGAATGAGCGCCTCCTCTGGCGACCCACACGTTACACGCAGCTCACTGCATGAAAGGGGGGAAGGGGAGAGAAGAAAGGGGTAGCTGGGGAAGGGAAGGGGGTCGAATGGACGGGCAGGGCGACGACGTAGGCAGAGGAGGAGAGGAGGGAGACGATGTGCACACATTGTCTCTCTCTCCTCACATCGTGCGTTTAGGGCTAGGGATGCCGCTGCACACAAGCGAGACGATGTGCGCTGCGCACACACTGACGCTGTCAGTAGCGCGTGTGGTGGCGCTGTCCCGGTTAGTTAGCCGGGGTGTGTGCGTGCACTGGCGAGGCGATAACGAGATTGCTGCAAGGCAAGGAAGAGCAGAGCATCGGGTCTGCATCATGACCCCCAGCGGTCAGGGGCGTGGAGAGAGCCAGTCCGCCTGTTGGTGCAGAAAAGCGAAGGTGTGGGGTGAGGATGGTGGGGAACATGTGCAAGTGAGGATGGTGGGGAACATGTGCAAGTGAGGATGGTGGGGAACATGTGCAAGTGAGGATGGTGGGGAACATGTGCAAGTGAGGATGGTGGGGAACATGTGCAAGTGAGGATGGTGGGGAACATGTGCAAGTGAGGATGGTGGGGAACATGTGCAAGTGAGGATGGTGGGGAACATGTGCAAGTGAGGATGGTGGGGAACATGTGCAAGTGAGGATGGTGGGGAACATGTGCAAGTGAGGATGGTGGGGAACATGTGCAAGTGAAGATGGTGGGGAACATGTGCAAGTGAGGATGGTGGGGAACATGTGCAAGTGAGGATGGTGGGGAACATGTGCAAGTGAGGATGGTGGGGAACATGTGCAAGTGAGGATGGTGGGGAACATGTGCAAGTGAGGATGGTGGGGAACATGTGCAAGTGAGGATGGTGGGGAACATGTGCAAGTGAGGATGGTGGGGAACATGTGCAAGTGAGGATGGTGGGGAACATGTGCAAGTGAGGATGGTGGGGAACATGTGCAAGTGAGGATGGTGGGGAACATGTGCAAGTGAGGATGGTGGGGAACATGTGCAAGTGAGGATGGTGGGGAACATGTGCAAGTGAGGATGGTGGGGAACATGTGCAAGTGAGGATGGTGGGGAACATGTGCAAGTGAGGATGGTGGGGAACATGTGCAAGTGAGGATGGTGGGGAACATGTGCAAGAGAGGATGGTCTAAGATGGCTATGGAAGAGGCTGGGGTAAACGCCAGTCCCCGGCACAAAGGGGTTCGGTCGGTACCATGTGTGGATGGCGGGAGGGATGCTGGAAGGCGGCTGAGCGGCAGTGGTGGGGGTGGTGGCGGTGGTGGTAGTCGAGGTGGTGGGGGTGGTGGAGGTCACAGCAGCCATGGCCCCCACGCCTGCCCTGTACACGGTGCACGGAGGGAAGGCGGGCAATGAGTGGGCGGGGCAAGGGGAAGGCACAAGTGTGAAGGCGGTGGCGACAGCAGCAATGGCCCCCACGCACGGAGGGAAGGGGGGCAAGCAGGGAAGGGGCAAGACGGGGAATGGTCGAAGCGGGGAAGGGGCAAGGAGGGGGTGAGTGGGGCGAGGGGCAGGTGTGTGGGGAAGCGTGGGGGGCGAAAGGGGGGCGGAGGGGATGAGGGCAGACGGGCAGGCGAGCGAGAAGAGAGGGAGCGTGGCGCAGGCGAGTGCCGTTGGCTGAGATGAGAGTGCCGCAGGTCCGCGTGCGCACGGGGAGGGTTGGGGGGAAGAGCGGCGCAAAAAGAGAATGGAGAAAGGGGAGAGTGGGATGGGAGGCGGGGTGGCGGCGACGTAGGGGAGAGGAGGAGAGAGGGCGAAGTCGCGGAGCCGCTGCGCAGATGGAGGGTGGAAAGCGGGGGGCGGCGCGCGCGCGACGGGCGGAGCAGCGGAGAGAGAGTGGGCGTGGGGCGCCGAACAATTTGCGGGCGCGGAGTGTGGACACTACACTGACCCCGCGGCGGCTCACCTTGTGCAAGTGGCGCGTGGAAGCGGAGTCGACACCTGAGCGGCGATTGGGCTACGCAAAGCCGTAACTAGTTTTCTAGCGGCAGAGTTTGCTGACCACTGCTGATCCGTGCGTCAGTTTATGAAAACGAGGCGACGTGCTACTCTCGTTTGAATTTGCTTCGCTTACATTCTTAATGCACTTCAACACTATCAGATGATTATGTATAAACATTGTTATATTTATTGACAGTACAATCAATGCTTATGAGAAGGTGCCTTCATAGCATGGAAGGGGATTTAGCATGGACGACAGACAGAGTTGTCCGATGCTTATAAAATTATTGAACCTACTGAATTTCAGCACGGCATGAAGGCATCAAAGCTTCCTGAGATCAACTCCCACACTAATGCGATGTGCACCACAACACGTCACGTCACAAGCTGTTGGCAAGGCGCATTGCCAGCTGGCAGTGGCTCTTGGCCTCCTCGAGGCGCTTCAGCAGCGTCTCCTCCTTGACAGCAGCGCCCACCATCTGCATGTCCACCCCCAGCAGCTGCACCACCCGCGTCAACTCGAACAGCACCTGCTGCCGGTTCACCGCCCCCCCCTTCCCGCCTTCACCACCCCCGCCTGCTGCTGCTCCCTCCGCTGCCACACCCTCCATCCCACTCCGCGGAACAGCCGCCGCTCCAGTGCGCACAGGAGCAGCAGCAGCAGCAGAGCCCCCCTCGCCCTCTTGCCTGAGCGCCTGCACTTCCTTTTCCACGCGCGCCAGGACCACGCGCCCTGCCGCCGCGATGCTCTGCCCCGACCCGAACGGGCGGTCCAGCAGCCCGCCGAACACAAACAGCACGTCCAGAATCTCCTCGACGCGCGTTGGCGCCGGCGCCTGCCACTCCGCCCTGCGCCGCCTCGCCTCCTCCAACACGGGGTCCGCCTCCCCGCCCTCGCCCCTCGCCTCCGCCTCCTGCTCCTGGCCTGGCTGGGTCCTCAACGACCCGTTCTCCCCCTCCGATGCTGCTGCCGCCCTCACACCTCTTCGCACTGCTGCTCCTGCCGCCCTCGCCACTCTAAGCGATGCTGCTGCTGCCGCTGCCGCGTGCAGCCCCATAAAGGCCCTTGCAGGGTGGGCGAGTGCAGGTGGGGATGCCGCTGGCCCGCCGCGCAGCGAGGCGACTGGCTGGCGTGGTGCAATGGTGGGCATGAGAGCGGCGCACGGCAGAAGCGCCGTGTGTGCCATGAGGGCAGGGGAGAAATGGACAGCTGCAGCGGCGCGTGGAGCAGTGGCGAGGGGCAAGGGAGGGTGAATCAGGGTTACTGGCCAAGAAGGACAGGGAACGAGGGGTACGGGGGAAAACAGAGGGCGAGTTTTCGAGGGTCTCAAGTTTGTGAGGTTCTCAAGTTCCGAGGCACAAGTGATGAACCTTGGGCTCGGCAGAGGCTTACAAATGCCCTTGGCAGCTTCCGAATTCGAATGAGAACAGGCATACAATTGAAATTGATTGCGAGAGGTTGTGGATTCAAAACCCGCGCTCACCCTCTCGCACACGGTTGCACTCACTCTCGCAACCACTCACCAATCTTGGACACTCGCAGAAAACCCACATACACCCTCGCACTCACCCTCGGGCTCGCGCTCACGCTCCCTCGAGCACCCACACACGCACACGCACTCACACTCGCACTCGCCCTCGCACTCACACTCGCACTCGCCCTCGCACTCACACTCGCACTCGCCCTCGCACTCACACTCGCGCTCACTCTCCCACTTGCTCTCGCACACGTGGTCGCACGCACCTTCGCCCTCACCCCAGCACCCATGCCCGTGATCACCCTTGTTCTCACCCTTGCAATCGCACTCTCACTCGCTCTTCACACACAGCTCTTCTTCAGCACTCACAGAAACACACACACAAACACGTGCACTCATCCTCATACTCAACCTGGCACGAGCACTCCCCATTGCACTCACACCCGCGCCCTTTCACTCAACCTCGCACTCACACACATACTCAAACTCGCCCTCGCCCTCACACTCACTCTCACACACTTGCTTTCGCACTCACTTGCGCACTCACGCTCGCACTTACTCTCTCATTCACCTTCGCACTTGCCCTTGCGCTCAAAACCGCACTCACCCTAAAGTGCATGCGCAGATCTCAGTCCCACTCACGCCCGCACTCGCACCAAGATTCACGTCCGCACTCACAATCTCGCACACTCTCGCACTCAACTCTTGCAACCACACGCACACTCATGCTCTAATCGCAAGCGCCTACGGTGCCAGCGCCCTAAGCGCAAGCGGCTTAGACGCAAGCGCCCACGGCGCGCACGGCGCTCTCTATCTCTCCTCTCCCTCCAACGCTCCCTCCCACACGTTCTTGGTGCTCCCTCCCCCGCTCCTTCCAGCTCTTCCTTCGCTCTTAAAAACCGCCTCTCACGAGTACTCTCCTGCGAGATCGCTATCGTGCGCACGCTCTCCCTCGCGCTCCCTCTCTCCCCCTCTTCAGATGGTAGTGCAAAGCAAGAGGAGACCAATCGACGCACATAACCTACGAACGATGTGAGAAAGTTTGGAAATTTCAGAGAGGGGAGGGACTAGAAAAGCACCAGGAAGGATCAACGCACCTGAGAATCACGGTGCCTCAGAGATCAACCCGCGCTCGTGCAGCGGTCGTCAGCAGCGACCTCTACAAAAATTCACGACAGAATGCACTGGAGTTTTGGATGTACTTGCGCCCTTTCGCACCCTTCCCCTATGTACCTGCGCTTTCGTGTGACTGAGACAAAGTGATAAACCGATTATGGAATAAGCACTGTACAATGCAAGAACTTATGCTTGTTCTTACATCTTAAACGCGAAAACTGGTTTTGTGACTTCACTACAACAATGAGAATGATTTTGGGTCTAAATAAAAACAGAAAAACAATGATATGTAAAACAATACCATCTTAATTTCATCAATAGGTTATATTCGCAATTATGAGATGAAACGAACCATATAGTTGCACATGTTGACAGTTCTGTTTGTTTGAGAATAGTGAATGCTTGCTTCTCTGGGGGCTGCAGGGTGGAAACCACCGCCTACTTATTTCATTTCCGAAGCTCCCCACTTCTCTCGACCCCTCCCTCCGTCCTCTCGCGCTGCCCTCGATGCCCTCTCTGCCGTTTTCTCACCATTCCGCCCTTGGCTTATTATTTATCTTCTGGCGTTTCGTTGCTATTTGCAACTCATAACGGATGGAACCAGGCGAGGAGGAGAACCAGCCGTTGATTGCTCCCGGCTTCGACCGAGGAACGGCACAGGCAAGCTGTGGCCGTAGGATCATCGTCAGCTGCGGCCGTAGGATCGCCTACACCACCACCCTCATTTGAAGCATCGGATCCGTTGGATCAGCACCAGTGACAGGATCGGGAACGACGGTATCCCCTGTCCAGATGGCACTCTCCGCATTCCACGTGAGCGTCGAACTGGGCCATTCATGCAGAAGCCACGGACAGGGACTATCGGAGCCCGTCCGCCTCGCCATTTGCGGCGCCAATCGCGGCGACTGCGACTGCTGCGCGTCGTCGTCGTGTGAGTATTGCTGGGCTAGCTGTGCCGCACTGCCAGACGTTGCACCTGCCTCTTAATTATGATTATTGTTGTATTATCTCTTGACTGGGTGGATGAGGTGGGGAATGGGAGGGCGGCAGCAGGGTGTCCCCAGTCCAGCGCGGGGCAGCGTTCTTGTCATGGCTGCCACCGCAACTATCATCTGGGGCACAGTGCCTTCGCTCCTTGAACGCCACGCTCGCTGTTGCCTCGTGCCCGTGAGGCCGCGCGGGCTGCTGTTCTACATTGCTCTGCCGCGCCCATGCGCCGCCTTTCGTTTCGTGCTTTTCGTCCCTGTCGTGTCTGAAAGTATTTTCCCATCTCCTCGTGGTTGCCTGCAGGATGGTGGGCAAGCTCTGCCGTGCCGTTCCCTGGACTCTCGCCCGCCATTCTTGCCGCTCCCTCGACAATGCAGAAGCTCGGGCGAAAGCTACATGGCGGCGTGTTGGTCGCGAGTTGAGGCACCATGGTCCGCGTCGTTCCTCAGTGGTAAGACTGTTGGCCTCAACTCAGCTCTTCCTCCACGTGCCTGCTCGTTCCTCGTTTCCTGCCCTCCCTGCCCCGTCTCTCTCACCGCGGGTCCAGTGACGATGATGCCTTTCGGGGCGCCCATGTGATTTACCGTGAACGAAGCAAACATAAAACGACTTCTCCTTCTTCTGAGGACCCCTTCCCTTCCATCACTCTTGATGCTCGCATTGCCTCTGCCGTACCTTCAACCCTCATGTGTTACTGTGTCTGTAAGCTAATATCTGCTGTTGCCTGCTGCCTCTGCGTGCGTTGCGAGGCGGCCAGCTGATGAGAACCATAACCGGTGCATGATGAGATGCGTGCATCTGTGAATGCTAAGTTAACTCTAATTTTTTCCTGATGGCTCGCCACGCCACAACGCCGCAGCCCCGCTTGTCTTTGCTCTGCTGCTCGCATTTGCCTGTCCTTGCGCTGCTGCTTGCATGCAGTAGCGCCGGCCCCCAGGGTTTCGGGTTTAGGTTTGCCTCAGTGATGACCCAAATATTCAAGCTCAACAGGCCCGAGGCCCGCCCTCCCCCTTACGGGGCGAGGGCAATCACGGCCGGTGACGGTTACTCCGCTGATCTGAGAGGCACTGCACCCTCGTTGCCGTACCTCGCTCTTTTGCATTTGCTTTTTACTAGCATGAGTCCGCTTTGTTGTATTGTCTCGCGCAGCTCACTCACGTGCGTCGAAGGACTGAGTTGGAGCGCGCCGGCCTTGCGGCATCGCGCGCTCCTTAGTTGCCCTTCGCATAGCCAAGGCGTGCGGCCATTATAGCGGCGGGGCCCCGCACGTCGCGTCAGCGCGCCCACCTGCCCCTCTCGCTGTTGGCTGATCTCTCGGATGCCGCCGGCGGTCGGCCTCTGCCAGTGCGACCCACTCGTGGTTGTCGCCCGCCGTCGGTGTTGGCGAGACGCGGCTCTCCGCGCAGCGCTTGTGGGCGCCTGGCGCGGCTGCACCCTCCGTGGCGCCGCCGCGTCGGAGGCCGCTCACACCCCTCGTCTTCATCCCTCCCTCTGCCCCACCATGTTAAGGCTTTGTAAAGAAATATATTTTTTGCTGTTGTGTGCTCTTGTTTGCCACGTTTACCCCCTCTGAATTCACAGGCTCTTAACTGTCGCACAACCTGAGTCCTTTGTAGTGCTGGTTGCGCTCGTTCCCCCTCGAGCATCACAACAAGCGCTTCTGGTGAGTGCGCCACTCAGTGACGGGGTGGGGTGGGGAGCTCTTGCGCTTGTTACCAATGCCCTGGGACTGCCTGTTCCCAGCGGTCACAATGGCTTAAGCGCCACACAATGGGCCGCCGGCCCGCGATGGAAATTCTTGCTTTGGGGAGAACGCTGTTCCTCTGAGCCGGGAAAGCCATGGCACATTCACCCCCGCAAAGATTGTCTTTGCTGAAACCTTCTACATTGGCGCTTTTCAGATCCCTTGACTGGGCTGCGTGGCATGCAAGGCGTAGCGGTGGTTGCAGTGATGAAGCTCAACGGTTTCAGACTAGAGTTTCCGAGCCTCTTGGCGTTGACGAGGACTCCTTTGGCTGTCTGAGCAACCACGCTTGCCTGCTGCCGTCACCTCATGCACTCTTGCAGCCCGCTTTTCCCTCCTAGCTGCTGTCACCTCTTGCTCTCGCGTTCCCAAACCGCCCTGATAATCCCGGCTGTGCCCGGCGCTGTCTCAGCGGCGGTGGCATGGTCGTTTCATGCAGGGCGCACACCAACCGCCCGCCTCACGGCTGGGCGCCGGGGTTTATCGCTGTTGGGCGTTTTCTGGTCGGCGGTGCGAGGGCCCTGTGGCTCTCGTGCTGTTGCCTTGGTGGATGTCCCTTCTGATACACTTCGCCAATATCCTGCAACGTCTCTGATTAAGTTTTCTGTTTCTGCTGCTTTGCAATTCAGGAGGTGCACACTGGAAGCAAGGCATAACTCCACGGTTTTGAGACCAGCGTAGCTCTCGCTGCATCGCAGTTTTGTTGTACTGTAAATTTGTATTTTCCTTGTACGGTATTTTTTTCTTGTCTAACTCTGGACATGGTACTAAAGATGTGTACTTTGACGTATTTAGACAAGCAATCAAGATACAATGACGGTATCTTAGCTCAGATTTCTTAGCTCTCTGCCATGGATCTTGCCATGCGCTTCAAACCAGACAATGTGTAAGGAATTTCGCTAATTCCTTACTGAGGCATCTCTTACGAGTACAATTCCAATTTAGGGAATTAAGGCTAGGTCCGACGACCTCGCAGTCTGAATGTCTCCCGCGTCGCCTTCGGGTTTCCCAACCCCAAACCTGCACCCAACCTTCGCGCAACTCCGCGACCTCGGCCTAGCTAGCTGTGCTATATTGAGAAAGCTTGCTTTCTTATTCTTATCAATTGGC